TGTCTTCCATCATCAGCTTGAGTCTTATCATTTCTTCCATCCTTCTCCATCCATATCTAATGAGAAAGCCTACTCCCGCCATACCGTTGACGTGTTGGCCTTCATTAAATCCGCATTAAATCCGCATTCATCACATGCCTGGTCAGTTTATGCTTTCCACTTCCAAGGTTTCTTTGCTTACATTAATTCTTCAAGCAGCCCAGCCGCATAACAACATATCCATTTAACATGCCTGGCACCTGTCATGTTTATCATCTATCATAAAACTTGTATGTGTTACCTATCCTTTTTATTTGTTTCGTATACTGACTGTTTCAGATGTCCTAACCACATTCTCCTTTTACGTTCTTGCACATTTCACTTGTGAGTTTCGATTGTTTATGCTACCACCTATTTCTATATTCTATGACTTGCTCAGAAGAACATGGAACTAACTGTACCAGATAGGTGTGCTTGAACACGTCCACTCAAACCATCCATGGATGTCCACCCTGACCGTGGCGAGTCTCGGTTCCACAACAATCATGCTTGCAATAACGCCAAAGAAGAAAAAATGAGAAAATGAAAAAATGAGAAAAAGAAAGAAAAAAAAAGAAAGAAAAAAAAATAAATAAATAAAAAAGAAATAAAAAACCCCCAAAAAAAGGAAAAAACCAAAAAACCAAAAAAAAAAAGAAAAAGAAAAAGAAAAAGAAAAAGAAAAAGAAAAGAAAAAGAAAAAGAAAAAGAAAAAGAAAAAGAAAAAGAAAAAGAAAAAGAAAAAACAACAGAGCCTCAAACAATGGCAAGCATCGATATTCTATCAGCCACTCCACTTCAACCATCAACCATCCCCTTCAATCAATCAAACATTCAATCAACCATCCACCATCCACCTCAAACAATCATCCACCTCAAACAATCATCCAACAATCATCCACCTCAAACAATCATCCAACAATCATCCACCTCAAACAATCATCCACCTCAAACAATCATCCACCTCAAACAATCATCCACCTCAAACAATCATCCACCTCAAACAATCATCCACCTCAAACAATCATCAACCTCAAACACTCATCCACCTCAAACAATCATCCACCACAAACAATCATCCACCAATCATCGAACAACCATCCACCCCTCAAACAATCATCCACCTCAAACAATCATCCACCTCAAACAATCATCCACCTCAAACAATCATCCACCTCAAACAATCATCCACCTCAAACAATCATCCACCTCAAACAATCATCGAACAATCATCGAACAATCATCCACCTCAACCTATCGTTCCTTCGAACAACCGTACACTCCAAATAACGATCCACTTCAATTCAATCAACCACTCCCAGTCTGACCGTGGCGGGCTTCGGCTTCAGGACAATCGGCAGACTGGACGAACAACCCAATCCATCCCAACCAACCATTCCAGTCTGACCGTGGCGGGCTTCGGCTTCAGGACAATCGGCAGACTGGTTGAGCAACCTTCTCGAACACCCTCCTCGAACACCCTCCTCGAACACCCTCCTCGAACACCTTCCTCGAACACCTTCCTCGAACACCTTCCTCGAACACCTTCCTCGAACACCTTCCTCGAACACCTTCCTCGAACACCTTCCTCGAACACCTTCCTCGAACAACAACCCGATCCGATCCAACCAACAACTCCCAGTCTGACCGTGGCGGGCTACGGCCTCAGGACAATCGGCAGGCTGGATGAACAACCGCTTCAATTATCCCCTCAGTCAACTCACTTCAATCAACCCACCCCAAAAGTCCAATCCAATTCAAACAACCACTCCCAGTCTAACCGTGGCGGGCTTCTGCTTCAGGACAATCGGCAAGCTAGTCACTCATCACTTCAATCAACCTCCTTAATCAATCCATTCGAATCATCTGCATCGCTTTAGGATTGGAAGAGGGGAAATGCAATGTGGCTAGTCTCATCATGTACTATTTTATTGTTACGATAGCCTTGCTCAATTGATAACATTGCATACCGCAGCCCATTGTGTAGCAGATGCAGTCTTTCCTGTAGGCGTAAGTCAGAGCTGAAATGAATTAGGAACACATTGATGCAAGAGGAACCTTGAAGCCTTGAGAAACGATGTATCTTATCTAATATTAGATAAAGCCACGTCTTTGCAGGGATTGTTATATGAATCAAGTGACCACGGATCTGTAGGACTAAAACATCTGGTTCTATGAACCTTGGCATTTTTACGATATCATAATGACCCCTTCACATTGTAGATAATTTCAACTTCTGTGTCCCAATTCCAGATCACAATTCCGTTGATTTTAATCGAATTCGCCCCATGGACAGAGAAGCGTTGGACAGCTTGCAGTCATCGAATTTGGAGTACGACAACTCCGATTCATCTTTATACTGCATCTCGTGTGAATGGTGCATTAGCACTGATTACCATCCCTGGATGGCAAGCTATCAAGCGTGTTAGTTTACAACCAATGAGACATGAAACCATTTCTCCGACTTACCGCTGATAGTGTATTTAACCCCGAACGGAGCCCAGCTGTCGGATGTTGCTGTAACCGACTTTACCTACCTCGAAGCAGAGTACTTTGATACTAAGAAGCTTGGCACCTGGTGGGCTATGGCTAAAAGCAAGCCAGCTAACGCTTTCTTGGTTCATTCGTGTTGTTGGCCCGTCTTGATCAAGCATTTTCCCAATGAAGAGGCTAATCTCGACAGACTTTTCGAAGTCTGTAAGGATAGACCCTCTTCTAGAAGGGCACGATACTGGGGTGAGCCTCTTATTTCCAGTGTCGTGGTATTTATTGGGACTAATCTGAAAGTATACACCTAGGTAATGACCACAACCGAATACGTGAATACCCATGGTATCCACTCCAGCGACCTATCATCCGGGGAATTGGAGACGCGACGAAACAGCTCTCAAAAATTCAACGTTTGGAGATAAGCTCTGGCAATAACACTCTGATGAGTGACTGCTTTAGCTTACTAGCGATAGAGATGCGAATTGAAATCGCGTCCTACCTTTCTACTGTCGATTTTCTCGCTCTTCGATCTGCATCCCGGGCTATGGCACTTGTCTTTTCGCTTCAATCGTTCTGGAAAACGAGATTCCTTGTAAATGGAGACCGCGGATTTCTAGCCTATTCAGCGGATTATCGAAGCCGCCAACGTAAGAACTGGAGATCGATGTACCGCTGTACGTCGAAGATTCGTCAGCCATATCTCGATCTCTGGGCCTTACGTCGGCATTGGATGAATAATCGTTGGCTAGCAGACAGGTGCTCAATGATAAAAGCCTTGGTTCAAACTAGGGTTCAAAATGATTTGCTTGGTGAGGTACCCTGGAAGGAGGTAGCTGCCGCTAAGGTTCGTTGCGACAGGAATTACAGACAGGGAAAAGATGAGAATCTGTGCAAACGATGCTGGGAAGCACACACTCTCGTGACACAAGCCGTTTCATTACAAAATCCCATCATTGGCTTGGCTGTGTTTATCTTAGATGAACCAACAAAGCTAAAGACAAAAACTTACCTCACGGGATTTGATCTAATAAATGCAAAGGTGGGGACCCCGAACGCCACAATTGGGTATCGGATACCAGGAAAGCAAGTCATAATTGATCTCTATAACAAGCAACTGCGAGGATTCACAGCTGTGGCGGATGATGGTGGAATACGCGCTATACGGCCTACCTTCAACAGCAACATCGTTCCAAGTTGGGTCGGCGACCCAGGATACGGCGAAATGCCTATTACGGAAGTCATTCTCAGGGAAGAGATCAAAGCCATTTCGGCAAAGTTCGATGTAAGTCATTTTATAACCTTTGAAGGAGCTACATATTATATAACTAGAGGCTAACTCAATTTAGCATTGCAAGATGATTAGTCTATCTATAGCATAGATAGACTACCTAGCCCTGTCTTAATGGGATATGTTGAGATGAACAACTACACCAAGGTTACCTGCGATCTGAATTATCTTCCAGAGGTTGTTTGCTTTCTTTACATTGCTAGTCCTATTTAAGATCTCTGCTGACCAGCCTACTGGTTGCGTCCCTCATTGACTATTGAAACAATAAGGTTCTGAATTGTCCAGCTTACATCCCAGTCATCCCATTGATACTATTGATAGTAATTCCAATTCAGCACCGCATTGTCCAATTAATCGAGGAATAGACAAAATATAAATATATTGGATGTGCAAAATTGAACATGATAATATTTTGTTCTAATCTCTTGAACCCTTGTACATCAGCTTCATTGGGAATAACGCTACAGCAACGCTGCAATTCCAATCATCCTAACACGCTGGCCGTGTCGAAATTGAGAATGTCCCAGGCTATATCTACGGTGTGGCTATCTTCGGAAATTATCCTAATGGATATTACTAACTTTTGAGTCCCAATACAGTATGCAGAAAATGGCTTGATCAAGCTTTACATTCAAAAAGTTTCTCCAGGATGCCGAGAAGATCGCGTAGACCACCTTTGGTCTCAAATTCTCTCGTTTTATTGGCCCATAAGTGGAAATTATGGTGTCGAGAGGGAACCATACACATCTGAGACTGCATTGTCCCGGGCGAATCTAGTACTGACCAACATCCATATGGCTAAGATCAGTAAATGCCTTTTTATTGAATGCAAGAGACCCGAAACCACCAAAAGCGCCACAATTATTGAGTCACGTTGGGAGGAAGCTCTTGACCAGTTGCAGCGACATATGCGCAATTGGACTGATCGCGATATATCCAGACCTTTGGAATCATTAGCATTGGACTTCAAATCAGGTTTTATATTATGCCTGCATTTAGCGATGTACTCGGTAACTACGACCAAGTAGTACGTACATTGTCTATCAAAGAAGATGTTGCGCAGATTCATGACATGCTGGAAGAGATTCGTATGCTTCTGACTCTTATGTAGAGTATAGATTATGTATGTATACAGGGTATGTATACAGGAAACTTTCAAGAAGCTATCGAACGGGCTAGTGGAGACCTAGTTAGCCTAGTTATTTTAATTCTTCATTAAAACCATCTTCGCCATCTCAATGACAGGAACTTGATTCTCATCCAGCTATAGGGGTTTAAGGTAGTGCGATTGTATCAATCATGTAAGTATAGATAATATTTCAAGTCATTTATTTAGTCGATGCACCAAGACTGCGTGATGGGCCTTCCCCTACCTGACACTGCCCATATGACTCTGTCTGGTCCCACCAGAGGTATGCCTTCAAACTCCTTCGTACTTCCAGGGTCAGGATACAAATCATCCAGAGTTACATTTCTAGCTATGATTGAGGGTACTGTGTGTACCTCATCCAGGGCTGTGGCTATTTTCTTCCCGTAAAGGACACCTTCGCTTTCATACAAGATTGCTGCCAATATGCCAACACGCTTTCGCACTCCATGTTGAGGACCTGGAACCGTCATGGATATGAACGCTAATTTTGTTGTGCCATAAGCTGATAGCGGCTGGATGGCGGGAATTTTTCGAGGCTCGTCGGTGATATAGCAAGACTTAAGCTGAAGTAGCTGCTGATCGGAAAAGGTAGAATGAAAAGAGTGATGAACTCGCTTATCGTCGATCAGCCAAAGCGCTGTTCCCAGATAGGTTTTGTATACGTTGAAGACCAAACCACTTTGCTGGAATTTAAGACCCTTTGGAGTAATATGAGCGAAAGGAACGCCGATAGTTGATTTGACAGGCACATAGCGACCTTCGTGGTTGAAATTTGAAGATGAACGTGAGATTAAAAGTGACTTTGGTGCCCACCTCAAGCCATTTTCGCTCATCCTATCACCATTGTGCAGCAAGATATCACTTGGGACATCGCCAAGCATTCCCCAGAAGGCTTGCATTCGCAATTTTGGAGGATACTCTAAAACTCGCTGCATATCTAAACCCATAAGGGTCGCTAGACATAAAGCCTCATCTTCTGCAACGCTGGTAGCCCTGTGCTTACAGGCTGAAATGATGTGACGAAGAGAGTCAACTGACCCTGTGGCGTTTCGCCCGAAATGACGAAGACTCCGATACTTGATGGTCAAAGTATTCCTAAGCGTCAAATCGATAAAGATATTGCGGTCTTTGAGAAACTCTTGAAAAAGATCATCGATATCCACAGCACTGTCCTGGAATTGAAAAATGAGCTTCTTAGCTATAGCTCCTTCTTGGTATGTCCAGAGACGTCGGTTCCAATTTGAATGAAAGATCCGCATTAGGATCTCACTTGGGGAAAGATCTGATATATGGCATGAGGTCAGCCAATAGTCGAGGACTAAGACCGCAGTTGCACCTTCGTAAACTTCACGCATTCTCTGCAAAGCAGCCCTCTGAGCGTTATCGGAATCTGCGGAGTCTGGAGGAATACAGAGAGTATCTATCCAGATCAGTTCAATTTCTGGGGTGATAAGATTGGAAGATCGTGCGAGATCCCGTAAGCGATTGAATTGGCATTCAGGAAGAGAATTACGTTGCAGGTTCCCGAGACCGTCAGACCAAACATGGGAGATCGCGACATATGGCATGCTTGCTTGCAGCGGCTTGATTGATAGGGTCTTTTTGCCCTGAGTTGGTGTTTCAATACAGATGAGAGGAATCTGGTCGCAAAGTAGAATTTTTGCTAGGGTGCTCAGCTCAACTTCCAATTCGCGACGGCCAAGACACATATCCATGTGCTGTGTCTTATATGTTTTCTGGGACAAATTTCGATATCGGCAGTATATCTGCGTGCAGGAATCCGATAATAGTAACTCTTGGCTTTCATTATGCTGATCAATCCTTCCATGGTTTCCACTAGAACCGGGTCGATCCAAATTCATCATAAAAATGGCACCCGAAGTCGTGAGGTCGTCAAGAAAAAAAGGCATATCAGAAGGACACCAGCCAGCCTTTCTGAAAAGGGACCGTAACAGATATTCCGGGAGCATGGGGGGTCTGAGGAGAGGTTCACCGTCGCGACTGGCTTGCTCATCATAATCCAAACACCGTACTGCCAACTCATAGAGTAGAGATATTGAAAGCGTAATATTAGCACCTTGTGGATTTGGAGGTGATTCATTTTTGATGAATTCTAGGAGGCGTTCTGATCGAATAAGTGCGTTTTTGTTTGCTCTTTTCCGCTTCCAGGTTTCACCGAGGCAGTATTGAACCTCGCCACACACTTCAATTGCGCGTACCATCTGGTGAGTGAGATTTTTCTGAGACAAAAAACTCTTTATGAAACTTTTCAGTGAGTTCGTTCTGACAAACAAATGTCCACGATTTTCCTTGTCGTTTATAATCACAATCAGATCAGATATATCAGATATTCCAAAGATAATAAACCCAAACCCATAGTAAAGCCATCTTTGAAGAAAGGCTGTCAGCGCAGGCGTAGGATGCTGGAACAAATCTTGCCATTCTGCAACTGGCCTGGAACCCCATCCTTAACGCTCAGGGTAGGTATCGTAATCACCGCCATCATATGGGACGAAAGACAAAGCTGGTACGTCAAGAGGTGGACCGACTGGGGCTCGAGGGAGTATGAGATGATCCATTGTCTGTCTCTTCAACTCCCAATATAAGAGAGATGACGATGCGATGAGAACATAAATGTTTCCAGAATTGCGCTCAATTACTTGTTATATATTGAGGAGGGAAACGCTCAAGGCTGTGTGGCTATGTGCAGATGCCAAGAGATATGGGTTCAAGTAGCATAGCCTTCATAAGCAACGTGATAATCGAGTAAATAAATTCCCTGAAATCTCACCCTATTAGTCTAACTGGGTTAACATAATACCATAGTCGATAAAGCCCTATGGGTCTTCATGCCCAAAAAGCTTTGATATGTCAGGTCCTTCGGAAGTGTGCATATTCAAACACCAGCCTTCAGACATCAACGGGAGAAATGCCTTAACCACTACCTTTGGCATGTACAAACGGCTCCATGCATATGCTGTCCATTCGGTCGGAAATTATTTCAAGTGGTGATTATCTCCTCTCTAAACTGTTGCATTTCCAGACTAGGGAAGCCCTCTCCTTTTTTCAACTTGCGTATTTTCACCCGGGTGCCGGGGTTAATAGTCTAGATTCAAATTTGCTGGCCTCTGGACATCTTGTAGGCGCTGCGGACTGTCCATGCATAAGCCGCGGATTTAGGGGCGCGTAGATTAGTGCCGATGCTATTTCGGGCTTTTACCACCCAACGAATGATGTCTTACCAGGTAGATTCGTATACTAAGTTTATTCAAGCCCTTGTTCTTAGATGATATTAATTTTCTATATAATTTATTATGAATGACACTCTCACCTCTGAGTGGGTTCCCGAGCCCGATGGGCGGGGTACATGGAATGTTTTATCCACTTGCATTCTCACTATCATTCTCTGCTGTTGGACATCTATATCTCCAAACCTGCCTGCTCAAACGGATGGTGCATTCTAAAAATGAAGATACAAATTCGACCTTGCCTATATGGCGCTACTCGGATCTGAATTCTTATTGATGGTAGCTCTGGGCCAAATCAAAGCTGATTGCCAAGTTCGCCGACTAGTGGGTCTCCATCGGCTAAAGGGATAAAAGGATTTTACCTGTTAGATTCCGTGAATCATTTACGAATTTAATTAAATCATATGATAGTCTAGACATATTTTCCATGAAAAACAAGGGTTGAATCATACTGGAAGCCTAGGCGGCGTTGACAGAGACGAAACAAGCCCCTCACTGGACTCTGTAGAGGCTGCTTCAACCTCACGGGTAATAGCTCGTATGTTCCCCAAGGAAGAGGCTGCTATACTCCATATCCTTCCCATCGAATTGAGAACACCGATGTTCAGTGCTAGATATGAGTAATGCTTTCCGATGGAATTCTCGATATGCGCAGATAAGACGGTAACCTGCACTGTAGAGCTCAGAACAAGAGTACATGCAAAGAACGGTGAATGGCCAGTCACAGATGTAGAAAGAGAGGCAAGCTTGGATAGTTCGACAGCAGCGTTCACGACCTTTGCTGTGTGTATTTGTGGACTTGGCGAGGGAGAACCGACGGGCGGGGGTCTCGAACAAAATATTTCCCGGGTTTTTGGAAGATATGAAATCAAGAAGGACTTGGGAAAATGAAGATAGATAGAGGCACAATGCATGATCATCGCGGCTTGGAAGTCAACCTGGTTTACATTGCCATTAAATTGGAGAATGGTGCTTTTGTCGCTAGGCCATCTGTGAAACCAAGCCGATATCATAGAGTCCAGCATTTCAATAGATTCTTCACAGGCATATGTTTCGCATGCGATGACACACTTTCGAAGAATGAGGGTTCCTTCAACACGATAAGCGAGGGACGACATGTGGCTATCGTCAGAGAATGCGCGATGACCGAGGTCTTTCGCAGATACAGAAGAAATGCCAGAGTGACCATCTTCAAACTTGGCATCGTCAGATGGAAGGGATACATCAGGCGTCTCCATATTGAATTGTAAAGTACCGCCGAGTTGCACAGCAGCCAAGAGGGTGTCCACGACGAAGATCTCCCATAATGTCCGCCTCATGCTCTCCGCGCGAGCGGGGCTCTGCATTTCGGTAGTATCAGAAATCTCTCGACAATGGAGGCCGAGTAAGAAGCTGCATTGAATAGCCAAGCCAATGCATTGTTTTGCGCCATCGGGTGCTTTGCGACCATGAAACATGATGCTTAGAAAAAGATACGCTTGGGCTTTTTCCAAGGATAGATCAGCGTTGACGACACCCGTCCATAATTCAGTCGAAAATTGAGGAATTTGACCAGGCGAAAGATAATGGAGCCCTATGAATTCGATAATGTTCACCAGATATTGAGGAGGAGAAGACGCAGTCCAGATATCAAATGGTGGTAGTATTGGGTGTGCAGGGTGGAAGTATTCATAAAAGGCCTTTATCAGACGAATTCTCATCTCTGGTGCGGCTTTTAGAGGCTCTGGCAAGTAGGATGCTGAAAGATCGCCTGAACCCACGGTAGGTATTGCTTCGTCCAAGAACGTGGGATCATCAATATTCGAAGCGCAACATGCATCGAGGATAGCATATTCATTTGGCTGGCCTCTACGCCCGCGACGGGAGGGAACATAGTAGCAAAACAGTGATGCAGTTTGGCATCGACTACATCCCCCAGGGTTACCGTCACATTTGAGATGTTTGTCTCGGCAGTTGACACATGCTACAGAGGCAGCTGCACTTGTGCTTGTCTCGGAAGCATCCATTGATTCAAATTGAGGTTCCAGATCAGAAGCGAAAGAAGTCTGAAAGTTCACGGAGAATCCCCGAGGTGCCTCCGCTCCACCTGGGTGGGCACCTGGGCGTAGGCTAGAGATTACATAAGAGCATTTACGGCCAAAAGATAACAAACAGAACAGAACGTTTGTCGTTGAAGTATATAGCCCTAGAGGTTTATATATTATGTATAAATTTCAAGAGAAGATCTTTAAATTCCATTTTCACCCATCTTCGGCGTTTGCTTTAGTTCCGGTGACTGGCTTCGGCTTTTGATATTGAGAACGGCGAGCTCATATATCACCGGCGAAAATAACTCTATCCACTAAAAATACTGTGATATAAATATCAGAGGTCGCTAGCTGCAGAGGATAGACCATCCATTCACCACAAAATGCAACCCATCACTCTATACTCTCACGAAATCGGCCCCAATCCTTGGAAGGTTGCCATCATCCTTTCAGCCCTGGGACTCGAATACAAAACTATCTTTGTCAGCTTCGATGAAGTCAAGCTTCCCCCTTTTACGGACATCAACCCGAACGGCCGTCTCCCAGCGATCACCGACCCAAACAGAAACATCACCCTGTGGGAATCGGGTGCTATTGTCCAGTATCTGATTGATACCTACGACGTCTCACGCAAATTGTGCTACGACACTTTCCACGAACGATACCTCACTCAGCAATGGCTCCACTTCCAAATGTCCGGTCAAGGTCCTTACTACGGACAACTGGGCTGGTTCAAACGTCAGCCTAACCCCAATCCATCCGCCATCGAACGGTATTCAAACGAAATCAGACGCGTCACCAGCGTTCTGGACAAGGCACTTCAGGGTCGTCAATGGCTTGTCGGGGACAAGTGCACGTATGCAGACTTGTCCTTTGTGCCTTGGCAGGATCTTTTAAGCTTCTTTCATGGTGATCAAGTGGAAACTCTTGCCCGCGATTTCCCAAATGTCGATGCCTGGATGGGGAGAATGAGAGCAAGGGATGATGTGAAAAAGGTCTTGGAAGAGAAAGCTCTGGCTATGGAGAAAATGGCGCAGAAATAGATACATGAACAGCACTACTTTGAAAATGGGAATGATATACGGAGTACCCGACAGTGCAAAGGAAATTAGAAAACTGCATTATAAATTAACCATTTCTCTTGAAGGATTCAAGATTGAATCAAGCGCGATATCACAAGCTGATTGTCTATTCTATTGATTTCCTCTAATATTTCGAAATTGGAGCTCTAAGGAGGTGACTTGGACTGAGATACATAGGCGTAATTCAATGTGTCTTAACTAGAATAGAATGCCTTATTCCCTCGTAACATAACAAATGGACTTTTCGTCTCCGGGGACGAGTGGGCATTGCCAGGGTAGCTTGAAGGGGTCGCCGAATTAGTGGGTCCCTACTATGTATGAACTTCATTGCTCCCGTAATGTCGGCTTCATTTACACACCTAGAACAGGAGATGACCCATAATATCTATAAAAACCTTTGTGGTGTCTCATTTTCGTTAAGAAGGTATCCGATTGATCCGTGACTTCTTATAAATACTTTATAAAATGTCTGCCCATACAATGAAAGTAGCAGACGAACTGGGTGGAACAGAAGCAAACAAGGAAATGATTGAGCCAACCACAGAGCCTCAGAAAGAGAACATTCTCTCAGACTGGGTCAATGATCCTGAAAATGCTAAGAACTGGTCGACAAAGAAGAAGCTGTACAACACTGCTGTTCCCGCCGTATTATGCTTTCTAATGTAACTATTCCCATGTTATTCTTGAATCAACGAACTAACACAAAAGGTATCACACAGTTCATTCGGCCTCGCAATATACTCACCATCGCATGAATCCGTCAAACATTCCTTCCAAACCAGTACGGTACTCTCGCTCCTCCCATTCACTTTATACGTCTACGGCCTCGCATTTGGCCCCGCAGTCTCAGCTCCTTTAAGTGAGACTTTCGGCCGGAGATTTATTTACGTTTTCGTGACCCCGATCGCCTTGCTCTTCATCTTGGGTGCCAGTTTCGCAAACAATCTCGCCGCTCTCGCCATCTGCCGTCTCCTAGCAGGCATCACAATCTCTGCGCCATTGGCTGTGGGCGCGGGGACTATCATGGATATGTGGACAGGCGTCAACACAAATCGCGGAGTGGTGTTGATTATGACCATTGCGTTTTTGGGACCAGCACTGGGGGAGCTAGTTGGCGGTTGGGTTGCTCAGTACAAGAACTGGCAGTGGTCGCAATGGACGACCCTGTTCCTAGGTGCTGCCTTCTGGATCTTTTCTACGGGAGCGCAAGAGACATATGCAGCCCCGCTAATGCGTCGCAAGGCTAAGAAGCTGGGACTTCCGCTACCCCCGTCGCCTGTCCCTGCTGGCCTTGCCGGCGCTCGTTTCTTGGTCACTGTCACTCTAGCGAGGCCACTGTACATGCTTGTCCGTGAGCCAATCGTGCTCCTGTGTTCGCTTTACTCCTCTCTCAACTTTTCGATTCTATTTTGCTTTCTAGCTGCCATTCCGCTCATCTTCAGCACTACCTACAGCTTTACCCCAGGAGAAAGTGGATTGGTACTAATTGGAATTGCTGTTGGATGTATCCTTGGGGGTATTGTGCTGGTGCTTCTTGATTCTCATACTATGAGAAGACACGTCATCAAGCACAAAGCTGCATTGCCACCACCGGAGCGAATGCTTTGGGGTGCCATGATAGGAGGCCCCCTCATGGCTGGTGCATTGTTCTGGTTTGCATGGACGGCCCGGCCAGGCATTCATTGGATAAGCAGCATAGTGGCTACAGGTCTATTTGGCTTCTCTAATATTTTGGTCTTTGTGCGTTGTCAAGCGACTTGTCCCTCCTCGATCTTGGCCTTATACTAACAATGTATAATAGGTCTCGACAATGCTTTATTTGACCAACGTCTACGGTGCTAAATACGGAGCATCAGCGCTGGCAGCTAATGGATTACTACGATATGTTGTTGGAGGCTCTTTCCCATTGTTTACAATTCCAAGTATGTTCCGTTCACAATTTTGCTGAATCCCAAAACTTCTAACAATTTTCTTAGTGTATAACAACCTGGGCTATCCATGGGCGTCAAGCTTGCTCGGGTTTATAGCAATCGCATTCGCCTTCTTGCCATGGATTTTCTATGTGTTTGGCAGCAAGGTCCGTCAGTCTAGTGCATATATCCAGTAAGGTTGGAATGCCTCAATCGAGATGAGGTGGCTGTAAACATATGCTGGATTTTGCTCTGGGAGTTTTATCACTGGAATTGAGGCTACGTTGAATACATAGAACAATGCTTATAGGACTGTTTTGAAGACTGAAATTTCCATTATGGTGTTAATACTTGTATATTCATGCCTGAAACCATCGTTGCACTAATATTAATTTAAGCGGAGAGGCCTAATAGCATAGACTTCTATAGTTATTGGTTTATCTGTATGTTGCATTCATGTTCACTTATATACTGAGGTAGAGTTAAGGGTTCTTGCACGAAATCATCTATATATTTATCTCCGACCAGTAACATCGCAATATATATCAAGAACATGGTCGTAGTTCCCCTTCGATACATTGTCTAGGTACATCAAGGAGACCTCAAAAGTGGCCGGAATCCCAGTAAACGGGCTAGACACTTTCCACAAACTCTTCCTTCTCCTCTTTGCCAATATCATCCTCCGCAGATACCCTGCAAACATGAGATTTGAATGCTCGTGTCGGCACCTTGTCTTGGAACATCTCATCAATCTGCTCTAGCGAGCGCTGTTTCAGCTCTGGCACAAAGAACCAAGCAAACAAAAATGCCAAAATAGAAAGGCCCCCATAGATAAATGCAACCTGTCCACCAATGTCTGCCTGAGTGAAAGGATTCACGAAGACGATGACTAACCCAGTGAGGTAGGCTGACATTCCACACAACGCTACTGTCTTTTCTCTGACTTGACTGGGCGGTACTTCGGCTGTCAGTACCCAAGACAATGGTCCCCAGGTAACCTGGAAACAGAAAAACCACAACATCAGCATCACGACCGCTGCAACCTGCATTTCATATGACATGCTGTCGGGTCCGTTTGCTGTCAGTCCACCGATGGTTATCATACAGGCTCCCAGCAACAGAGACGAGCACAGCAGCACACTTCGCCGGCCAACGATGTCGACGGTGGTCATTGAGACCATGTTTGCCGCAACACCGATAACATAAACCACCACAGCCATCAAGAGTACTTCCTTGAACCCAATCAGCTGGAGGAAGACGGCCTGATAATTGGCGACAAATGAGATGCCTTGCGCCTGTGCAAAGATCTGAGCGCCCATAGAGATGATCGTACGACGCCGGTTGACAGGATCTGTAAAGCAGATGGCCCATGTTGCGCTTGCCTGTCGCTCATGCTGCTCTTCCAACCGTTGTTGCATGTTCACAACCTCAGCCTCTGCTTCGAAGGCAATTCCACGCAGACGACGAAGGGAAGCCACCGCTTCGTCTAATCGTCCACGAGAGACAAGCCAGTAGGGAGACTCCGGCAGGAAGGGTAGACTAACCCAGCTAGCGGCCGGGATGGCAATTTGAGTAACAACCACTACCCGCCAGGCCCAGTCGCTGGGGATGTTTTGACAGAGATACACAATGAGCGTGGCAAAGAAGCCGCCCACCATGAGAAAAGCGTTGTATGTGCCGGACATCAAGCCACGCATGGCCTTCGGGGCACACTCTGCTTGGTAGGCTGGAATAACGCTGGTGGCGATACCACCGCCCAGGTATACAAGGAGTTTTCCAATGATGAATTGAGCGTAGCTCCTTCGCGAAGTTGACTCGATGATAATGCCAATCGTGACCACAGCACTTTGAATCCACAGGGAATTCTTTCTTCCCAGACGTTCATTGATTGGCGAGCCCAAGAAGACTCCGATTATTACTCCCACGTAGCCCAGTCCAGTTCCCAAAGACTGCTGGTGGGAGGTAAGGGACCATTCATTCGTGACAGGATCGAGATATCCGAAACTTTGAACGAACTGAGAAGAGCTCATGAGAGCTGACCACCATCCTTGATCGAATCCAAATCCAGCGGAGGAGATTGAACCAAAGATTACTACAATCCAAATGAGCCATGGTAGACTCCAGATTGAATTGCTAGGTCCTTCTTGCGCCATGATGAAGGTAAGAAGGCAGAAAGAGGTATAACAAACAAGAGACCCGGAAACAAATTAAATTTCAGAAAGGGGATGAGGACGGCACCGTTGTAGCGATGTTTTTTAAGAACTCCAAGTGCTAGTAGGGCTCGGGCTTCCTTCTAAAGTAGTTGGCCCGCTCTCACGAGGTATGGGGCTTCCAAGATTCTTGAAAATAAGGGAAATGGTGGCTTGGACTTTCCCCGAGATATCTCCCAATATATTTGCCTTAATTGGATCAGAATATAGTTCTATTTGGCCTCGGGATTCGGGTGGAGTTTGTCGTAATCCTTCAGGTGCCAGAAAATAAGAGACAAGCGTGAGTTAAGGCTTTTAGCAGCCCAATACATACCAGATTCAGAATACCTCAAAGTCTATTAGCTCACATTATGGAGAAGAAGGAATACAGCTGTTACCTTGTCGCATATGAGGCCTATAGCATATGCTTCCTCAATATCTACGGGGCCCCACGTGGTTTCCCCAAAATCCATGCAAAGTTTTGCGGAGAGAAAATGCCGTCTCTCAGGTGTGGAACAAGAAAAAAAGTGGGAACAAAAGGTATCCTGTTGGTCGCCCGTACTGTTGTCAATAAAACACGCCCTTTGAGCCATAACTCAACTTCGGGGAACCGAATGGAGCGGCTCCACCATATCGCCGAAGCGGGTAACCCTAATCGCGAAGTCATCAATCCCGATTATTTTGTCATTACGAGATACATCTGGTCTTATTATGAAAGCGACACAAGCTGCTCCTTAGGAATCATTACTGTTCCATCTACCCGATTGAGACATACCAAACAAACATTTCAGCGTCATGACCCCAGACCCCATCAGTCCTGTCGTGGAGGGGCTCCTCCAAGCTCTCACACTGGAAGAGAAAGTGTCTTTACTTGCCGGTCAAAATATGTGGCAGACTGCACAGGTCGACCGATTGGGTATTCAACCTCTTCAGATGACTGATGGCCCTGCAGGTGCTAGAGGAACCAAATGGAACTACGGCTCTCTTACCACACTGATACCTTGCGCTATATCACTGGCTGCTACCTTTGACCCGTCGATGGTCGAGAAGGTCGGCGCTGTGCTCGGCGAAGAGACACGGCGCAAAGGCTGCCATGTCCTTTTGGCACCGACAATGAACCTATCACGCTCACCACTCGGAGGTCGCAACTTTGAAGGCTACGGAGAAGACCCTTTTCTGATTGGGACCATGTCTACTGCGATGATCCGTGGTATTCAAAGTCAAGGTGTCGGTGCTTGTATGAAGCATTTTATCCTCAATGACACCGAGACCCGGCGGTTCAACGTTGATCAAACCATTGATGGCCGTACCCTGCGTGAAGTCTATGTGAAACCTTTTGCAATGGCCCTCGAGGCTTCACCGTGGACGGCAATGGTCAGCTATCCCAAGGTCAATGGCATCCACGCAGACATGAGCACCTTCGTTCTCCAGCAACTTCTGCGACAGGAATTGCAGTTTGATCGGCTTGTCATGAGTGACTGGGGAGGTTGCAACAGCACTGTCGAGAGTCTCATTGCTGGCACAGATCTTGAAATGCCAGGTCCGCCCGTTCGTCGAGGCGAGCGTTTGCTTAGTGCTATTCGGGATGGGGAAGTTGATGAAAACAAGCATTTGAACCCCAGCGTGCGACGAGTGTTGCAGTTGCTTGAACGAGCCGCCCTCCTTCCCTCGCTTGAAGAGCTAAATGGCCTATCTCAGGAATCGGGTCACAAATTTTCGTCTCCTGAACTACCATCAGACAATGCCGCATTTCACAAAACAGTGCGAGAAGCCGCAGAGAGTGGCTTGGTTCTGTTGAAAAATGAGGATCTTCTGCCCCTCCCTTCCTCCCTTGGTAGGGTCGCTATCCTTGGTCCAAACGCTCGCAAGCCAACCGCTGGTGGCTCTGGCAGTGCAGCCGTCAATCCATTTTACATCACAACACCGGAAGAATGTCTCACAGAAGCTCTTCGAAACGCTAGTCCTGGGGTTCGGGTTTCGTACGAGCAGGGCATACCTTTTACCTTGCGACCGCCTCTTTTTGGTGATTCGCTCATCATTCCTGATGGTTCGAAACAGGGTGTTCAAGTGGACTTTTTTGCGGGATACGAGTTCCAAGGTCCAGTGGTCGCTACCACCTTCTGGGCTGATTCCTTGGTGTACATGATGAGCGACGGGGACGTTCCTCCATCACTAAAGGGCAAGCCTTACTCTTACAGAGCCACCGGTGTCGTCACTCCCAAAGTTTCTGGTCAATACACCTTCAGTATTGCAAACACAGGCAAGGCCAAGCTTTTTATTGACGACCAGCTCTTAATTGACAACACCGACTGGACAACCATCACTGGCGGTTTCCTTGGTTGTTCCAGCGAAGACCGAGAGTCTTCTCTATTTCTGGAAGGAGGGCGCTCATACGCCTTGCGAGTAGATAACGCTGTCACCTTGCCTGTGATGAAATCATTTGATAACACCCTGTTCCCCAGAGTTTCGGGTTTGCGGTTCGGTTTCTCCTTGGAGGAAGACGAGGATGCCATGATGCAGCGGGCCGTGCAGTCCGCCCGAGAGTCAGACGTTGCTATCCTAATCGTCGGTCATAACAAGGACTCCGAAGGTGAGGGTGGTGATCGACCGAACATGGAATTGCCAGGTCGCACCAACGAGCTCGTTTCCTCTGTTTGCGCCGCCAACCCCAACACCATTGTCGTTGTTCAGGCAGCGTGTGCCACTGCAATGCCTTGGGAAGATCAGGCAGGTGCTATTGTCCTGGGCTGGTATCAAGGCCAAGAGAACGGACATGCCCTGGCAAACGCACTACTAGGTCACTGCAACTTCTCTGGAAAGACCCCAATCACCTTCCCGAAAATGCTGGACGATCACGGCTCCAGCCGTTGGTTTCCTGCTGAAGCGGCACAAGACCACGCCTTCTTTGGTGAAGGGGTTTTGGTGGGCTATCGATCGTTCGACGAGCAAAAGATCGAGCCCTTGTGGCCATTTGGCTTTGGGTTGTCTTACACCACATTCACGCTATCTGGCATATACTTCAGAGGTTTGTTGACTGCGTCCTCCGCATCTGAAATTACCATTCATGCCACCGTGAAAAATACAGGCTGTTGTGGTGGACATGAAGTGGTCCAGGTATACTCCTCGCCGTCGGAGTGCATTCGTGAAAGTGGCCTCCAGAGTTTTCCGAAGACTTTGGCTGGGTTTTCCAAGGTCTATGTCCCGGCGGGGGAGTGTAGAGATGCGAGCATTGTCATCAAAAATGAAGAACTCCGGTGGTATGATAAAGAGGTGGGTTCGTGGCGCCTAGACAGTGGTACTTACACTTTCTTCGTGGGTACCAGTGTGAGAGATATTCATTGCGAGCTGAAGATCAATATGGTCTAGACTTATCTTAGATCTTAGAGAATGGTTTAGCCATGCTATCTATATTGAAACGCGTAATCAAGTGTTTTCTGAGCAATTGGTTGTCAAACTCGGACTATCATTCAAAGATCCTTGCTCAAGTCATTCTGATACTGCGTCAAGTATTTGGATTATGTATGTTGCGTGGTTGTTGGCGCCTTTTAAACACTCAGCAGGCTGCCCAAACACCCTATTGTGGATGAAATTCTTCCTTCCCCTACAGCTGGTCAACGTTCCTCCAAATAACGGCTTCTGTCTCACGGGAAGCCTCCTCTCTGGCCCGTAGCGCCAGCATGGTTCTGACCAACTCCTCGAGCCGTTGGCGAAGGCCCCATAGCACTAGGGCCCGAGGAGGCTGCCCGTTTATTGTATATTTGGTTTGGATATCAATAGCTCGGCGTCTGATTATCCGGGCCTCTCGGATGATCTCCCTACGCGCGTTGTTGCGCCATATACGAGCCAGCCGTATCTGGGTGAGCTGCTCAAGTTGCTCGTTGTCAAATGCTGGGATCGGCCTGGTATCGGCCACTGTTTTTTGTCAGTCTTTGTAATACCGGTGAGAAAAATCATCAAGGGGAGGCATATATCTCACTTTCTGCGGCTTCGAATGTAGAAATAGTAGAAAAGTGTGGTTTGTGGTAGACTAAGAAGCCTTTGACCTTTGAAATGCTGTTCATTAGCCTCCCGCCTCACTAGAAATGTTAATTAGAGGTCAAGGAATACCTTTCTAAGTTGGGAGATTGGTGAGATTTTGATTTGATCAAGTGAGGGTGAGGGTGAGGGTGAGAGTAAGTTGAGAAGAGAAAGAGAGAAGCATCCTTTTGTAGGGTGAAAGTCCTCGCTCTGTAATGAAGACGCGTTTTCCCATGCAATCGCCATTCAGGTTATCCCTGATGATTCTTCCTCCTCTTCTTCTTTCAACCAATCTCACACCCGAGGCATGGTCCCTTCGATCAAAAGCAGAATATACGGCAGCGGATAGATCTAAGACTTGTTATTTTATAGGCTCACGTTTCCCTTAGACGCAATCATTCAATCAAAGTTCAGTTAACCTGTTGCAGTCTAGCTAGTTGCGTATGGCTATGCAGGCGCTCCCTCAGGGGTATCAATCTACCTACAAACTAGCATACTTGAGACCACGCCGGCAGTAAGATACATACACTCCTATTGAACAATAACCCCCTCAGCTGACAAAGAAAAAACTGTGAAACAATCCAATTCTAGTGATAATAGGCTGCTTGGGCTACTCTTCCCATCCAATAGCCCCGAGAATTGCGAAATAATCATCGGTGTTCAATATTACAGGCGTCCCTCATTATGTGCTACGTCCACACGTCTATCGCCAGATATTACAGAGACCATCCGGCCCCCTCATATTGTGCCCTATTGAGACAATAGACGTGACCAGTATTTCTCCTTTACGAGATGCTCAGTCTCTTTGCAGAGGTAATTGACCATGAATTAGAGAAGGAGATGTGGGACTACGTGAGATAAACATCAGGTTTTCCTTCGATGTATCAGAACCAGGCTACGTTTGTCAGAACCATACGATCTTAGTTTTAAATCTTGGTTTTACTTTGTACTGAGATCGTTATTGATCAGCCCTCTCTTACATTTGGTGGATCGTTGGATCGTCCCATTGTGCTCAGCTTGGATGCCTTAATGATAGGCAGAGCCATTTGTTTGCTAATTTGGTTGCTCCAGGCGTTGCATAAAAGGCCCTGTCTTCATAGTTTAAACGCAGGAGATTTCTTCTCTTGATTCTCCCTGGCTTTTATTTCGTGGCCCTCAACACCTTTTAACTCTAAACAAGGTCAAAATCCTCCGTCAAATATCATTTTTCTATCAGTTATAACTTACTCTATAGTTATATATTATATCAACCTGACTAGCTTTAAAACTATCTTAATATACTCAGGATGTTTGTTTGTGGCTATGGCTACAGGCGTTGACTACACCTCGCGATTATTGCTCCTTACGGTGCCAATCGCTATCTGCCTGAAGCATTGACAAAGGCACTACCGAAGATGGCTTTCGAGGCACTGCGAGGACGATTGGTTAAAAAACAGCATGCAAATTGATACGCTTTGAATAGTGATTTTGAACGGAACTAAGCTGAGACCAGGGGATTCAAGTGCGACTAACCCCTCACCTCACCCGTATTACAAAGGCTCACAAGGAACAGTGGCCGATAATAGGCAGATCCCGGCCTTCGATGATGAGCAGCTCGAGCTGCTTACCCAGCTTCGGCTGGCCCGTGCCTGGCGCAACAACGCGCGTAGGGAGATCATTCGCGAGGCGCGGGCGATAAGACGTCAGGCAATTGATATCCAACATGAATACACTATAAAAGGCAGCCTCCTCGGGCCCTAGTGCTGTGGGGCCTCCGCCGACGGCTTGAGGCATTGATCGAAGATATGCGGACCCTACGGGCCGAAGAGGAGGCAACCCGTGAGATGGAAGCCGATATTTTAATGAACGTGCAATAGGCCATTGCAAAGGAGACAAAGTGATTATGGTTTCGCATCGCTTATATTAGTCGAAACGCTCCGCTCTGCGTCGTTATCCTGAGTTTCCTCAATGAGGAGCTTCGCCAGCTGTAGAAGCAGGACCCGCATTCGGAATTCCGTTCAAGAGGCTGCCCGTGAGATGAATGCCGAAATCTGGAGGAACGTGGAATAAGAAATCGGAAACATATGCTATCAATTGCGAAGGAACACCAGAGGACGAAAGTTTCCAGGGAAACGATGACCAAAGATTCCCGTTATCCGCACCCCTAGAAACACGCAAGCGCAAATAGACCAGTTCAATGACAAGTATCAGGGAAGTTCTCCAGCTCGACGAGGACACCATGAGTGACGGCATATGAAAAGGGAACAACAGTTGGGTCTTTTGGGCGAGGGATACACCAATCAATATACCTGGTCTTCATTTCGGTATTTGCCTCGCACAACCATTGAGGATATGTTTGAGGTCTGCAATCGAAGTTGAGTAATCCAAAAATATAAGCAAATCCCGTATCTCCACACTTTCTGAGACTTCGCCGAACTTGTGGATCCCTATGCAACCTTATTTTCGTTCGGGGCTATAATCCTCATCTTCCAAATATCAAGACCTGACACGCATTTTGACTGGTTATTCGTTGAGAAGGAGTCATTTTATTAGAGTTAACCCTTCGTATTCATCTTCTAAGCGCCCCATTGTAGGTCCACAACTGTAAGACTGATTTTTCCAAGATAGCTAAACCGAAGAGATCATGGCAAGTATAAATTACCCATAGCTGTCATATGTGACTGCTTTGCTTTCGCAGATACATTTTGTGAGTCAAGCAAACATGAAGTTTGGACATATCGCGAGCCTTGGGCTGTTGCTGGCCACTTCCGCTGCACATGGCGCTTCAGAAGATGTGGTTGAGTTTGCATCAAGCAAGAAAGTCTCTACAAAGCCCAACTTCCTCTTCATTATGACAGATGATCAGGATCTCAAACTGAACTCGCTGTCATACACCCCGTTGACGATGAAGCACATGGCAAAGAAAGGAACCACTTTCACGAACCATTTTGTCACTACAGCTCTGTGTTGTCCATCTCGTGTCAGCTTGCTCACTGGTCGTTTGGCGCATAATACCAATGTCACTGACGTCCACCCACCATTGGGTAAGTTTTGATTCAATCTGGCCAATGTGATATTTCATGCTAACGTTAAATTCAGGCGGATACCCAAAGTTCATTACTCAGGGATTCAATGATAACTACCTCCCGGTCTGGCTGCAACAAGCAGGATATGATACTTACTACACTGGCAAGCTGATGAATGGACATTCATTGGAATACTATGATTGTCCACACGCTGCTGGGTTTAACGGGTCTGACTTCGTCTTGGATCCTTACACCTATGACTACATGAATGCAACGTATCAGCGCAATCACGACGAGCCTGTCAGCTATCTGGGCCGTCACACGACAGAGGTTCTCCGCGAAAAGTCTATGGGCTTTTTGGAAGACGCTTTAGCTGGAGAACGGCCCTTCTTCCTTACTGTTACACCCATTGCTCCACACTCAAACATGAACGGAACTTATGGAGGTGGCGCTGGACCAATGTGGATGGATGAGCCTATTCCTGAGGAACACCATAAGCATCTCTTCCCAGATGCAAAGGTTCCCCGAACTACCAACTTCAACCCAAAAGAGGTGAGTGCTCTTACTTTTCTATTTTTAACACTTCAAATAGCTGACTGTCAAAGCCAACTGGTGTGAGCTGGATTCATGACCTTCCCTACCGGAATCAATCCGTGATAGACTATAATGATCACTACTATCGTCAAAGGCTTCGTGCTCTTCAAGGTGTTGATGAGCTTGTTGACAACCTCATCACACGTCTTGAGCAATCAGAAAAGATCAACAACACATATATTATCTACACCTCGGACAACGGATTCCATATTTCCCAGCACCGATTGCCACCAGGAAAGACCTGCGGCTTTGAAGAAGATATTCGAGTTCCCTTCATGATTCGTGGACCGGGTATTCCAGAGAACCACGTGGACGAAACTGTCAACACGCATATCGACATCGCCCCGACTCTCTTCCAGCTCGCCGGTCTCCCTCTCAGGGCCGATTTTGATGGGACACCAATTTCAACTTCCAATACCGATGGTGATATTTACGAGCACGTTACTGTTGAATACTGGGGACAAGCAATGCTTGAAGGAGGAATTTCAAACCTTGGTATGTCTCATCGAGAAAACAGCACATAGGTTTGAGTTTCAGATGCTAACTCAATTCTAAAGGAACTCCCACTGTACCCAACAACACCTACAAGGCTGTACGTCTGCTCGCCCCCGAATATAACTTGTATTACTCTGTGTGGTGCAACAACGAACACGAGCTATATGACTTGACCGTAAGCTCGCCGTGATACTAAAATATTCGCCTGGATATCACTAACCTCCCAATAGGTGGATCCTTATCAAGTTAACAACCTCTTGAAATCAAACAATCAGGAAGTTGAAGTTCTTGGATATCCAATGTCTAAAGTCATTCCAAGATTGGATGCACTTCTCATGGTATTGAAGTCGTGCCAAGGCTCCGAGTGCATTAAGCCCTGGGATACTCTGCATCCGGATTGGTCTGTTGCAAGCCTCAAAGATGCATTGGACCGGGAATACGATTCATTTTATGAGTCACAGCCAAAGGTCTCGTTTGCTCGTTGCGCATATTATTATGAGATTGAGGCCGAAGGTCCACAGGATGCTCTTGTTTATCGAAATGGATATAGCTTGGAAACGTGGGTCTAATCATAGACCGGCTGGATCGTCGCACGTTTTGAGTCAGTTGTCAATGATGGGGAAACGAGTGAGAAGAGAAAGGCGATTAAGGGAAAAGCAGTTAAAATGAAAGCACCAAATAGGGATCTATCATGGGTGTTCGAAGATAGAAAATGAATTAAATTCTTTCATCTTTTTTCAGATCATGTCCAGACACATTATATGCGCTCATTGCAACCTATTGTGCACTTTATTTAGTCCAATCCTCCTTGCTGAGAATAATCTTCTCCTGGGCCAGGCGATCAAACACCCGGAAATACCCATACGCAACTGGGTACTCCTCCGTGAATCCAACGCTTCGAATCTTATCCAAACTCAACTCGCGATTGCGACCCAGAAATGTAAAGCCTGCTGAAAGGAAAATCCAGGTCGCCTCGGAAATCTCACGAGGGCGCAGACCGTACTCTGCGCACATCTTCTGGTAGTCGTCCTGGTGTGCGAGCCACCACTTGTCGATGTCCTTCCAGCCCTTGTCCTCAGGGCTTGCGCCTTCGGCATTAAGATCAAAGTATTCGCACATCTTAGGCCATGCGACGGTCCAAGATGATGGCGTGTCGTTGTCGGCCGTGTTAAATGCCTCTCCGTGTGCCTCGTCTGGCTTCTCGACAGATAGGTAAAGCTCGGAACGGGCGATGATATCCTGCGAGGATAGCGTATACGTGTGGACGTAGTTTGTGTAGGGTCCAGGGAAGACAGCAGTGGCACCGGGGCCGTTACAATAGCGGTACAGCATCAAGTAAAGCGCGAGAGGCTCGACGTATGTCATGCTTGTTGGAATAGGAACGTGACCTCGACACCAATGTTAGCATGATCAAACCCAAGAAGCAGGGATACGTACCGACAATCTGATCTGGTCGAACTTCGCACCATTTCCAAGGCTTTCCCTTATTGGCTTCCTTGATGAGGTCGACCTGCGCATAGTAGAAGATCTCATCCCCCCAGGGTGACGGGATGCGCGGATTGTTTTCGCGTAAGGGAGGATTGATCTCGATGTGTTCCTGGAAGCGAAACACGGCGACTCCATAATTCTGTGGCCAATTAGCCAGAGCCCATCGGCTATGTACTATTACTACATTGATACATACGTTTGTTCCAGTTTGCAGCACGAAGAACTTCAAATTCTTACACAGCCGGTCGACAGCGTGCACGGCGTTATAGGTCATTTTCTCATTGATATCCCGGATAGCCATCACATCCACGGAGTATGCAGTTGCATTAGAGTAGGCTACCATAGTTAGATGGTGGCCGTTTAAATGTCAGGACTCCCTTACCAAGATAATACACGTGGGTGACCTCGTCCAGATTAGAAACCTTCTCTTGCAACTGAGACAGCACCTCATCAAAATTCCCACGTAAATTTACTCCGTGATGCAACTCCAGTCGAGGGTCATGCGGCAACCCACTTTTCTCCAGAGATAATGGCCTATTTGTCAAGCCGATCACTCTATCAAAGGTAGTGGACGTGGGGTATGAGAGAGCACATTTGGTGACAGCCCAGCCGGAGATACCGCTGGCGCCGAAAACCAATGCAACATTTTTCGATTCTGCCATTATGGTACTTTGATAAAATGGGAGAATCCTTAGTCTTAATCGGTAGGAGGGGTCATACGAGCGTCCTTAGTTTCTCTTCTAGTGCCATTAGCCCAATTTGGAGACACCAAGTGGAAACCCCTTCTATCAAAAGTTCCATCTCGCCAAGAGGCTAATTATTCCACTTCGAGTTTCATGAGTCGCTTACAGAGTATGCATGCAAGTTTCTCGGGGTTGAATCCCAAATAGTTTAGACGCGATAGATGTTAGTGGGTCTATCTAGGTCTCTCGCCAATTCCAGAGCGGCCCCTGCGGAGGTTTGGGGGCCGCCAAGCCTTGCAATATCACAAACTAACCGTACAGCACCAAGGTGGTTTCAACTCCACGAGCTTGTTTTTACCGATCTTCCCTTTCAGATTTTCAGGCGCAATGGCTATCCCGTTCATTGGCAACTAATCTCTTGCATATGATTTTCCTAATCAGGTGTGGGATACAGAACTTGCCCGTTGTGGTAACCAACTCCTTGTTCATTGCCTTGTCCTCTCACCTCTCTCGCCCCAGTCTCTACATAGAGGCAGGAGCATGGCAAAAAATAAAAACACAAAAACATACAACAGTGAGGATTCGCTGGTGGTCACCCACCCAACTACTAACTCACCGGCGTGTGGCTTAAGTACGGCTGAGCGGACGGGAAGCCCTGTTTTCCACACCCTATGGTCGTATGTATTAGGTTAGGAGTGGGCGAGGATTATAGAATGCAAATGAATGGGTGGTAGTAACAATAGGAGGGTGATTCCTGCGTTATGGAGGTTCACCGGCGGCTAGACCACCTGTTACAGTGTGTATTATTTGGAAGATAATGATACACACCCACCGAGGCGGCTATGCGCCGGACCTCTGGCCGACAAACCGACCGCAATGGGCTTTTTTGAGCATTTATTCGAACCAGCCCACGGCTGCAGTCATGCCAGTAGAGGACGGTTGTCTAGGTGAAAGTTAAGAAGTTACAATGTTTCCTCGTAATTGATATAAAGGTATGAATAATATTATATTTAGCACTCATTTTCTAAGGCTTTAGCTAATTTTGACCTAGTACTTCAGGCAATTATTTGAACTTATTAGTTTACTGTAGAGGTAGAAAGACTGTATACTATACTTTTCAACATATTACTTGTAAAATGAGAGTGGATCTAATATTCTGCCTGGCAATATAAACCAATGAGAGAGGTATGTGTCGGGTGGCATACTTACCTAGGTAGTCGCCCGTGGTTTGCATCCTTGCAGCTTTCTCTCATTAGTTGCTTCTCTACCTAGTACGGGCGACTATAGGGACCACTGATTCATAACTCCCTTGGTTTATATTGCCTAATCTAGGCAGCAATGCGCAGGGTATTCGGTCACAACTCCTTGTCCCATTTCTTGTCTCCAGGCGGGTACTCAACATGCCCACTGTTTCCCACGCTCTTTTGACCTTTCTCGGGCGATCTTTTAATAGTCAAATTGGTTCCCATTGTGTAATTAAGGCCCATAAATCTATGCAACCCCATACCGTTTTAGCTTGCTCTGACCTACCCCAAATCAACAGGTTTCTTTTGTCAGATCAATGAGTCAAGGTTAGACATGGTCTTCATGGACTTTATAGTCTGATAAGCTTGGGTTATGCTAAACGAGACTACTCATTTAGGTCAGAGTTGGGACAAGCCATCGTTCCACGTCTACACGGCGGGTCGCTGGTTATTCAACGAGCATCAGCAGTTAGCCGCAAGATGCGTGAACTTCAATTTTGATGAACTCATAAAAATTGCCCAGGGTCTGGATTCTAGTGTCTGTACAAAAGTGGAAAAGCTCGAGGAAAATTACAATAAAGCGTTCCTTCTGACTATGGAGAGTGGACACCAAGTTGTGGCTAAGGTTCCAAATCCTAATGCTGGCCTCCCTTTTTACACAACTGCCAGTGAAGTCGCGACAATGGAATTTGTAAGTTCAACAAGCCCAACATTGTGGTCCTTTATAATAACCCTACGCAGGCAAGGACCATCGCGAGTATCCCAGTGCCCAAGGTTCACGCCTGGAACAATACAGCAGATAACACTGTCGGTGCTGAATATATCATCATGGAAAAATCAGATGGTGTTGTATTAAGCTCACAGTGGGCAACAATGTCCACCGACCAGAAGCATGAGTTGATCCAAAGTATCATTACCTTTGAACGCTCCCTTGTCGCCCATAGCTTTGATCGGATTGGTAGCATTTACTATGAAAATGATCTAGTCGACTCCGAAGATTCATATTCACCAACTGCATTCCCTAAATTTGTGATTGGACCGACAACTGATCGCAGGTTCTTGGAAGATGGACGAAGAGCAATCAAGTCTGATAAAGGACCATGTGCGATTTTTCTTACCTAGATATCAGCGTTTCATCCGTTTGGATGCTAATATAGAGGTTCTTATAGGGAACACAATGATTGACTATGTTCACGCGATGGCAAGTCGCGAACAAGAGTGTATCAAACACCTTAGCCGATTCCCCAGACCAGAAGGGATTTTTGGCGCGCCCGATATCAACCCACAGCTGATGCAAAACTCGATGTTATCTCTGATTTCCGAAATGTCGCCTCCTTTATACTCCCGAAGGATGCGACCGTTACAAAGCCTGTTCTCTGGCACACCGACCTCCATGCGGATAATATCTTTGTGGACCCAAATAATCCTTCTAAGATTCTTGCTATCCTTGACTGGCAAAGCGCACATGTCGCTCCATTGTGCCAGCAAGTGATTACACCTGCATTTCTCGATTTCAATGGACCTAAGCCTGATGAAGGGCTTTCTTTTCCTTCACTTCCGGAGAATTTTCAGACACTGAGCGCCGAAGAAAAGGCCAAAGCTGAGGGTTTACAAACTCAGCAATTATTGTACAAGCTTTATGAGATTCAATCTGGTCGACAGAATAAGGATGTTTTCAACGCCCTTCAGTATGCCAACACACTCGGATGCCAGATTATTGCACTCATATCACAGGTATTCAACGACGGCGAGACACTTATCAAGGGCCAGTTGATTCAACTTGTTCAGCAGTGGAGTGCAACAGTTGGCAAAGATGGAACACCATGTCCGATCACCATTACTGAGGATGATATCATGCAACAAGAGGTAGATCAGCAAAAGTGGGAAGCAGGGGTGTAGCTCATGGAAGATGTTCTGGAATCCCTCGGGGGTGCAGAGAGTGGTTGGCAAGGCTGGGTAAGCCATGAGGAGTATGCGCAAATGAAGGTCAAATTGGAGATAGTGAAGGGCCAGTTCTTGGATCATATGGCTCAGAATGCTGCAGAGAGAGAAGCATAGAGCCAGGTATGGCCGTTCCAGGATCAAGATACCTAAATTAGCTGAGGCATGCAACAGCCATATTACCAAGTAGAAGAAAATGTAGTACAAGTCAAGGTTATACGTTCATGATCTATGCCTAATTATTACCCACAATAATGGCCGGCTTAAGCGGACTTGCGATGTCCTTTCAGTAGTCTTTTCAGTGGTCTGTTTAGTAGTCTTCTCAGATATCATTCAAGTTATCTAGATAGGTCGGCAAAAGAGATGCGGAAAAAAGGCTTAATTGTTTTCTATGTATAACATTTGATTCTAATGCCGGATATTCTGAACTTATTTCTACTAAAAAATAGTAATATGAGCCTCCAACTTAAGCTTCGTAATCAAAAGTTGTTGACATCCATGGATGCCAAGAGAATTGAAACGTTTCCCTTTCGACTTCTAACTTATCCCTATAGATTTACACAGTCATGAGCCTAAATATACGTCGGTTTCATTCAGCTATCCACCCATTTATTTATAGCAGGGTACTATTAATTCTCCCACCAACGCGTGTCCAGTCAGGCTGCACCACGCGCATGATGAATACCTGCGCGACAAATACCGCGTCTCGTCCCGACCATGAACACTTCTTTCAATATACTAGCTGACGGTGGCTCTGGAATGAAGAACAACAGCTTCGTGACAGGTATAAGGCGTTCAATGTTACAGAGCTTCAGAACCTAGCAGTCAAAGCCATTGGGGCGGACGGCTGTGCTTCAATAACAAAACTGGCCGAGAGAGGGTTTAATAAAGTTTTTCGACTTGTTATGAATGATGGGAAATCAGTACTGGCACGTATACCAAATCCAAACGCGGGACCTTCGTTTTACACAACTGCCTCGGAGGTTGCTACAATGGAATTCGTGAGTTGGTTGTGCAGTTATATGAGAAACTCATAAATTCAACAGGCCCGGACAATTCTGAAAATTCCCGTTTCCCGGGTATTCGGATGGAGTGCTACTTCCCGAAACCCGGTGGGCTCAGAATACATCATCATAGAGGAAGCGACTGGATCCCAACTTGGGATGGTGTGGGATGAGATGACTCCGGACTTGAAACTAAAGATTATGAGGGAAATTGTGTCTATCGAGACCAAGATGCTGTCGATGTCATTTTCACAGTATGTACCTGTTCTATTTGCGTCTTGGGCATTTGCTAATTTCGACCATTATCTATGGAAGCATATATTTTGCAAGTGACGCAGTGAAGGGCGCTGTCCCTATGCAAATTATCAGCCATGCGCCAGCCGAATTGAAAAATTAAGTTTCGAAAACGTTCACCATTGGACCTACGGTCGACAGAGATTTCTGGAGCAAAGAGCGCTCCAATATGGATATATCCAGGGGCCCATGTATGATTTACCATCTTATTTGCGGAAAGACTTTACTGATATCTTATAGGGTCAAGCCCAGTAGATTACGCTCTAAGTATTGGATTGCGGGAAATGACATGGATCAAACAGCACGCTACCCCGAAATCACCGGATGATCCTCTTTTAGCCTCTTTGGCCCAAAATGACCCGAGGGCGCATTTAGATCTTCTAGAGAGGTACATTAGAGTGGTCCCTTCTCTTATGGGCTTTGACGAGACCTTGACTCGCTCCACATTATGGCATACTGACCTTCACACATCCAACCTTTTCGTGGATAATGGTTATATCACAGCCGTCATCGATTGGTAAGGTACATGGGCTGGACCACTTCTTATCCAAGCACGACCCTCTCCGCTTGTGGACTATCAAGGGAGCACTTTACTGAAGCGTCCGGGAAACTTTGATGAGCTCTGTCCTAAAGAACAAGCTCAGATTAAACAGAAAATTTTCAAGTCTACCCTTCTTCAGCTTTATCTCATGGAGACCGAAGAACGCAATCCGACACTGGCAAAAACATACAACTTAGACCATGGCAAAACAAGACGGTTACCTATCGAACTAGCTGGGAATACTTGGGATGATGATATCGTCTCCTTCAGGGAAGCGCTTATCAATGTGGAAAGGTAACCAATCCGTGTCTTTCTTGTTGATTATACCTGACTTTTCTGTTCTTCTAGGCACTGGAAAGAGCTAGGCATACAAGGAGACTGCCCAATTCATTTCACTGAGGATGATTTGCAAAGTCATTTGGTTGATGCAGAGGGGTGGAATGAGGTCCAGGACTTTTTTGACAGCATTGAAGGTCTTGTAAAGAGAGATGGCTGGACTCATCATGATACCTTCGATGCTGCGTTTGCGCTTTTCTCGGATCTTAGGGAGACGGGGCTCAGGCAGCTGGGAGGGAAGGAGAAAGAAAGTTTCGAAAAAGAGACACACTGGGTGGAAGACAAGAAGCTGACCCGAAGTTCCCAATAGGGTAATATCCACAATATATATATCTTGAACAGCAAGAATGACTAGATAATTGTTTCCGATCGCACTTTGCCATAGCCCCTATTACAGTTAGTCCTTTACTATAGTTAATCCCCATATCTTTTCAAAATTATCTTGGACCGTAGACAATGAATTTGGCAACGAAATTCAATAGAAGCATTTAGGGATTTATAGAAATAATCAGTGATAAAGCAAAATGTGAATGTATTTTCCATAACAAGCACTAATGGTGTAGTGGTAACATATAACACTTCCAAGTAGTCACCTGACTACTAAGTTATGTTGTGCCGGGGGTTCGATTCCCTCTTAGTGCATTTCTTTTTATATTTTTTTAGGTATTCTACCCGTGAATAGAATTACCATTTGTATGTTGTATGGCGATATAGTTCAATATTACAAGGATAAGTGGTGGTGTACGTGATCGTATAGATCATACATGTACAGACACATAGATAATAGCCAACCCAGGTTGACAATGACATTTCATACTCCAAAGAAATAAAACCAATGCAAGACGACCCCCATGTTCGCCGCGAAACGCCATACCATGATGTGTCTTAGGGACAAAAAATCGCGCAACAACTATAGGGGGTACTCGCGAGAAGGGGAATCAGCCAGACAAATGAGATGCGAAATGAACATAGGACAAATGAGATGACAAATGAGATCCTTAAGAGTAAAATCAAGAAACAATACGGATGGGATATCCTGGCGCATAACATAGGGAAAAAGGAAAACTCCAGGAAATGAGGACATATCCTTTTTTTGTCCTGCATTTCGGAAAAACAAAACGAGAGATGGGAAATGAGATTAAGCTGACGAAATGATTGACACCAAATTTGTCCGAATCATTTCTTCTCGGTGCTCGCACCGGTAAAGAGTCGCAAACGACGCGGTGATTAGTCCCCGTAGACCCTGCTACAGGGGACAATATGATTATACAATACAAGGAGGAACTCCAGCCTCCTGTTGGTATCAGTATCAATATCAGTATCAAGTTGCAGGTGGTTTTGAGAGTGGTTTTAGAATCATCCGTTAACCATGTCATCTAAAGCCATCCTGCGACGCTTGACAGGTCTGTTGTCGTGACCTTCAGCTTCGGTGTTGGGGGGCTCAGTCCTCGTCATGGAAGGCGAGCTAGATGTTATCTGAATCGGAGATGGCAATTCCACTGGCCCGACGTGGCGGGGTACGGGATCCATATTTGCGCTTGTTATGGAGGAGGAGCGCTGGTGGGGGAGGGAGTAATTGAAGGCTGGGGCTGTGAAGGCTGGGCCTGCAGATCTGTGAAGTGGTATAGCGCGGGGGTCATGAAGGCCTTCTTCGCGGCCTGGGAGAGTCCAATTCATTGGGTACGGGTCGCTGAGGCGATGGACATGGTGAGGGGGTGGTGGTCCAGCTGTGGCTTGGTGGATGGGGGGGAGCCGGACTGGTGATTCGATGTTGTATGGGTCCCGAGGTGATAGGGATACTGGCGGTTGATGTTGGGGAGGTGATGTTGGTGGTGGTAATGCTGGGATGCCGTATGTTGGAAATCGCCGCTCTATGCCACTAGACATAGTGTTGACTGTTAGGGCTGGATTGAACCCTCCTGTCATTGGCATATAAGACGAAGGTACATGCGAGTGTGTCGGTACTGAATGCGATGGCGGTCCAGATGAAGAGAACGGGCGTCGAATCATACCTCCCGGGACCGTAGGGGATGGATCCATAGGCCGCGTCAGAGGATATACCGAAGCGGACCAGCGATGTGGTGTCCGTACTGAGCTTGCATCTGCCAAACCCTGTAGATCCGTCATAGGCCGTAATTCTCGTGAAGATGTAGCCCGATGCATAGTCGTCCGCCGCGGGGGCATGGTTGGTTGGGCCTCCGCTGGGATAGTCGGGTTATCCAAGTGTGTAGTGTAGGACCTGAGAGACGAATCCTCTGCCTTCAACGGGGGTCGCCCTCGCTTTTTGTGCGTAACATCCACGCATGTTGACTTTTTCCCCCTCGTTAGTTGCAATTCCACATGAAAGATTCCTTGACACTTACGGCTTTTCCAGCAAGCACACATCTTCGACACGGACGAGCCGGGTCACATCCAAGGTGTTTTTTCTTACAATTCACACAAGCGGATGCCACATGGGCTTTTGTACGTCTGGTTGATTTCTGTGCCAGTGAGCGACCTCTGGGATGCGATGGGTCTAGTGTTGAAGGTGGACATGGCGGTGCGCCTAGTAGTGGAGATCCAGAGTATACCGGTCCCTGTTCGTTATACCCCAACCGCAGCGGCTCATTAGCTGGTACTTGCGATAGCTCCAATGCAGATACAGACCGCTCAGCCGTAACTACGGGTGAGGAAGGATATCCCCGAGGCTTGATCTCTGCGGATGGCTCCGAGGGTTTTGCTGGAGGGGATCCAGACATAGATTGATGGGGTATAGGAGCCCGGGGGCTACACCCTCGAGCATTGGGGGACCAAGATCGATCCAACGGTAGCCGCTCTGGGCCCTGGTTGAATCGGGGCTGTCCAAACTGGGAGATAGTGAGGCTCGGGGGGTGAAGCACGAGTGATTGCATCGGAGTGTCGGGCAAGAAAGGGAATGGGCCCACGGAACAATTGCTTCTTTGGTTTTTTTTTTTTCCTTTCTTTTTTTTTTCCACAGTTTTTCTGTTTCTTTTTTGGGGTGGATCTTTTCAAATTCACGAGCAGTGACCGCTGGCTTTCGCGGTACTTTGGTGCAGCATGTCTGAGTCGATGTACCTAGAAAAGAAAGCGCGGTGTAGAGAGAAAAGAGCAAGGTCCATCAAAGTGTTCCAATGCCCAAGGACTCCAAGCTTATAATCAATAAGGAAAGATCCGCTATTGGAGGAGTCAGAAAATAGACTGCATCGAAAGATTTCTAGATGACAGCACAGGGTTACTCATACGCATGTCTTCCCAGGGCGACTTATTGTAGGCGATCATCGAGCTAGGATCAAGGTGCATCAAAATGTCCAAGCACCACGCCTTACCTCTTGATCACACGTCCCACGTTCCAGGTATTTTGTTAAAGGAGACGAACTATTACCCGAAAAAGGGAAGGGGAATAAAATAAACTCCACTTGAATGTTCCTAAGGCGTTCGATAGTTAGGAAACTTGATATACAAAAGTGGTCAATGCAGGCGCTAGTAAACTGATAGACTTGATCTTCGTCATGGTAGATCATTGGAGAATTATGAGTTTAACGGTGCCCCTCCTTTAACTCCCTTTTTTTTATATTTTGAGATTTTGATATTCAAGAGAATGCCTCTTTCCCCCCCCCCCCCTCTCTCTCTCTCTCCTCTCTCTCCCCTCTCTCCCCTCTCCCCCCTCTCTTCCCCTATCACTTAAATCGTCAGTGACACCAGAGTTAAAAAAAAGGAAAGGGATTGAATTCCACTAGTGAAAGGAGACTTCTTTTCTCTTTTTTTTTTTTCTTTTTTTTTTTCCGGAGAGGGGCAGTGTATACCAATCAGGACTAAGCAAGGTGGGAAGATTGACGGATCGACGTCGGCGCCCGCAGCCATTGCCAATAGTTGACCTCGGCGTGGACTATTGCGTGTACGGAGTACATGTACTCCGTACTTTGCTCTAATATTATTATGATCTAGATTCAATATACTAAGATTTATATATGGAGTACGAAGTACGAAGTAGTATAGATAGCAACCTCATTATTTTGATGTTTTTAGGGTTACAACCGCGTCACCCTTTTTTTTAGGAATTATAACAATAATATAACAATAATCAGACCAATAATGATCTTTAGGCTTAGACAGTTAATTTCTATTTAATTTACTTATTCAAATTTGATTTAGAAAAAAAAAAAAAAAATCCCGGCTCCCTTTAAACCCTTGAACCCTTTTAAGCATTTATAAATCCCCTTATTCTCCGACCCACTATCATTGTATCCTCTTATGCTCCGTCTAGGGGTTACTGTTACAGTCCGCAGAGAGGTTTCACAAGGGTTATGGGAAGTCGGACAACTGCAGGCACCGTGTCTCCTTTCTTTTTTATTTCTCCTTTTTTCTGTTTGGTATTTTGTGGAAATAGTTTGCGGTGATACTAGGTCTCGCAATAATTAGCCTGTGATACCCACTGGTTTTTATTTCCTTTTGTTGTATATGCCTTGAAATCGGGCCTTTGTATAGTTCCAAGGTTATCTGAAGATACGAAAATGATAAGGATCTCTCATAGGGTAAAAAGGCTGAAAATCCCAGGGAATCCTTCGGGGTCTACTTTATTTTCCGGGGACTCCCCAAAGATGTGGCTGCAGCTGTTCTGGCGCCTGGGACGATCACATTGCCATTTGCCTATGCGGTGCATTGCTGACGATCATCCCTGGCTTAACTGCAGGATCCCAGTTCTTTTTAAAGAATATAACCTAATTTCTCTATTCTACTTTGATTCTCCCTACGGAGTACATATAATATACATAAATATATATAAATATATATATAACTTTACCTTCATATAAACTCATCCGACTAAGGAAAAAGGGGTGTGGAACATGCGGCACGCGGAGCAGCAAGGGGTCTGTCACCCCGTTCATGCAGGATCAAATAGTCTGTCGAATATCATACGCTGGTTGGTTGTTTTCTCAATCTATTAACCAATCATCATATTTATTTATGATTTGTATTTCAATATATATTTTATACCCAATTTGAACCACTTGGATCCCATTTGATCCAATTTATATAACTCCTACCTCTCCGGGTATAGCGTTCTAGCCGCTAAAAAGCCACTTAATTTGTACTATTGATTTTAATTTCAGATCGGGGCTTTTTTTTATATTTCAATAGTATACGGAGATTATTCGGGACTTATCCCTGGGAATTCTCCTAGTCTCAACGGTTAATTGACAATGTCTATGCTCCTTATACTCCCTACACTCCTTATACTCCTTATACTCCTTATACTCCTTATACTCCTTATACTCCTTATACTCCTTATACTCCTTATACTCCTTATACTCCCTATCTATATCTTCAGACCCTTCACTTATACATTCTAAACCCTTTCAATATTTCACTTCCTCTAATAATGATTAGAAGGGGTCCGAGACCTCTAGAGCGTGATTGGGCTGATATCACATCTTCATCACCCAGGTTGATCTACGGTTTAAACGTGATGGCCTGCATGGCCAAGTTTCAATCTTGAGTTAGTCAAATTTCCAACATGTCTTCGTATAAGATCGAGTCTAGGCTACACAACTTCTTCCCATGTGGTGAGCTAGGCAGTTCCTAAATCTTAGATTCATACTCTCCGTACGTACTCCATACATTGTAAAAAAAATCTCCAACAAATTGTGGTATCTCTGCAATATAGACATCTATTATTCTACAAACTTTTTTTTCAACGTCTCTTCGACGGCCGAGCATTCTTCTCGCGACGCTGTTGCACCTGTTTCCGTGCCTTGCGAATATCCTCCGTAGACCGAAGTTCGCTCTTTCCACCATATGCCGCACCGCCCAACTTGCTGTGCTGGCGTTCGCGCGCCGCCTCGTTTTTCTTCTTCATCTTGTCGTAGTCATGACGCAGAGGATCCGCACGCTTAGGCGCCCGGTCCTGGTTGTGTCGGAATCGACCACTGGCCATACGGGAGTCGATCTTGTTCACAGCAGGCGTCTCGGCCTCGCCAACACGAGGCATCCGATCCACGCGCTTGCCCTTCTTCCAGGCTTGGAAGCGACCGCTGCGGAAACTGGCCGCGATCTTGGCACCACTCTCACCCCGCACAAGTCGGCTACCCTTAGAACCGTCCTCGTCATTCTGGCGGGCAACGTACTTCTTGTGTCGCTTGTCCCAACGCATGACGGAACGCGCTTCACCGAAACCGCGCTTGCCTTCGTCGCCATTGAGGTCCATCGTCGCGTTGCGAGAGTCGCTGGCAAAGTTCGAGTTGGTACCAGAGTGAACACCGTAAGCCTTGTCTTCGGCCATGTCATTGTGTTGAGGTGTGTAGCCCATGAAATAATCGGGGTTCTGGAATGCTGCCGCGGCGTCCTTCTTCTCGCCTGGCTTAGACTTGGAGTTGTAGGCAGAGAAAGTGACCTCGAGTTCATCCTCGGATGCTTCTGACATGTTCTCGCCGACTTGTTCGGGGACATCCTCGTCCCCCTCTTCACCATCCTCGCCAGCAGTGGGCAATCCAAGCGATTGCAACTCGGCCTCTGCTTTGGCATCCGCACGCTTTCTCTTGTTCTCCACACTAGTGCGGAGTCGTCGAATGGTGTCAACAGCCTCGTTGGCCTCCACTTTACCGCCTCGTCGGTTGTTCGCCTCGAAAATTGTCTCATGTGGGCGGTAGCCACCAATTCGGGCCAGCATACTCTCCCGCTCAACCTCCCTCTCGCTGGTTGCATCGTTGAAGAGGGGGTGAATCTCGGCCCAATGATCAGAAGAAACGACCTCCTTCGACCGTTTCGCACTCTCGGCAGATGCCGAATTACGGGTGCGGAGATACAGCTTCTCTCCCTTTTGAGACACCTGCTTTTGTCCGTAAATATCTATATCATCGTCGAGCACCTTCTGTACCCATTCGCAAGTACGAGAGACCGGCTCTCTCGGCAGCGTTCCAACGACAACATCCTCTGCAAAGTTGAGATCAGTGCCGTACTGACGACCGAGAACCAGCCTGCGTCCCAAGAACAGCTGAAGATCCAGAAGATACGGGGCATCTTTGTCGCGAACGAGACTGTAACTCCAACCCTTTTGGCCTGCACGAGCAGTACGACCGACACGATGAATGAAGATCTTAGGTTGTGAGGGGAAGTCGTAATTGATGACGTTGGCAAGAACAGGAATATCAATACCTCTGGCGGCCACATCGGTGACGACAAGGATATTTGAAATGCCGGATCGGAAGTTTTGAACATGGTGGTTACGAGCAGTCTGATCCAGGGAACCGTAGGCATAAGAGGTAGCAAATCCTGCCTCAACAAGAAGAGCATAGAGGTAGTCGACATGGTGCTTGGTAGCAGCGAACACGATGGTTGAGTGCTCGGTAGGCGACTCCTTGAAGCCGCTAGGGAGACGGACATCCGATCTCTTGCGCTTCCTTGTAGGGTTCTCGGCCTCTTGGCGTAGTCTTCCGGCAATATGCGTCTCACCGGTAGGCATCTTGATAATATCGTGCAGAATGTGTAGTAGGGCACCTTCTTTGTCTGATGACTTGACAGCAAAGAACGCGTTTTGTAAATCAGGAGAAACTTTATTTTCTGTGTCGAGACGAATCAGACTTGGCTCCTGGAGACCAGCGCGTGCAAATTCGACAAGTGACTTGGGCAATGTAGCAGAGAAGAGAAGGGTCTGACGGTTGGTGGGCAGTCCGTGCAAAATCTCGGTCAACTGTGCGGCGAATCCCATTTCGAACAGTCTATCGGCTTCATCGAAGACGACATATTTGATGCTAGAGAGATCCATGTCCATTTCAACCTTCAAGTGCAGGAAACGACCAGGTGTCGCAATGATGATATCGGGGTTGTTAGCCATCATGCCAAACTGATCTTCCAGACTGTCACCACCAATAAGAAGCACCGATGTCAAATTCGTTCCCTTGCCCATCTCCTTAACGACCTTCATGGTTTGCAGAGCCAATTCACGGGATGGGGACATGATGAGAGCACGTGCACCGAACGTAGTGCTATGGCTCTTCAATTTCTCGATCATAGGAATAACGAACGAGGCAGTCTTTCCGGAACCAGTACGAGCCATACCAACCACATCCTTGTCATCCATGATCACGGGAATAGTCTTTCGCTGAATCGGGGTAGGAACGGAGAATCCTTTGCGGGCAATCGCTTTTAGCAGAGTCATGCTGAGACCCATTGCCTGGAAACCACCACCCTTCTTCACAGTACGGCCCTTGAGGTTTGCGCCCTTTCGGTTGGCAGACGCCTGAGAGTTCGCAATGAAAGCCGCATCGCCGTCGTCTTCGTTTAGAAAGTCAAGATCTTGGTTGGTATCGGGCTTCTGGTTTTTCTTCTTAGTGGGCTTTGGGCCGGCGTCGGAATCGCTGTCATTTTCAAAAAGGGATTTCGTGATGTCGAACTCGACCTCCGACTCTGCGGGAGAGGCAGCACGGCGAGGCATTGTTGTAGTATGCTGTGAAGCCTCGACTGATATGGAAATGCAGGTGATAAGCGTTTAAACCGTTAGGCTCGTCAATGGCCGGGGGGGTTGTGAAAACACAGAATAATTTGCAGTAATTAAATATTATATCATGCAAAAATTCCTCAACTGCTCAAACTTCAGACACCCGAAGAAAAGTCGAGACACTTATCTCGCCGTCTTTCTGTCGCAAAAAAAAAGTTGAGAGAATCGTAGGCGGTCAAGTCCGGATCAACCATCTCCCGCATGCAAACTAAACAAACAGTATTTATACAATTTGAGACTGATTGTAAAAAACGTTGTCTAAAAACATTTACATATTTCAAGTTTCAAAGATTTAGAGAGAAAAGGTACTATTTGTACGATGCAGAGCCTATATGTACGCAAATTATGATTCGAAACCTCCAGCAGCCATTTGATGCGCAGCTCGGCTATGTTAAGGCACATTGGACATATCGTTTCAAAAGCCTTGAAACAGTAAACCATCTCTAGATAGAAATGATGGGAAATTTGAGAACAATTGACAGTTTAAGGTAAAAATAGCTATATCAAGGTCCAAGTCGAGAACGCAGGTATGTATAAAGTAGATAGGTCCAATTTAGAAGGCGGTCTGTCTAGGCAGAACACGATCCCCGCGACGCGTGCAACACGCTCCCAATTGAGTAAAATGGTGTTGGAGAGACGGTACTTTAACTTTTCCACTTCACAACACAACACACACCATGGGTAAATATTACTCCCAAATACAGCCTAATGATACTCATGATGATCTAACAACACCATTAGACAGCAATTACAACTCATTTGGCGGCGGAGGAGGATTCATGCCGGGCGAGTCGAGCAGTCCGTCCGGAGGCAAGGTATGCATGCACAAAGATCCCAGACTTCTCTCTATAGTAACACCAACTAATATCCAACGCAGACTGGTGACCGGGACAACAAAACCCTCCGTCCCGTGACAGTGAAGCAAATCCTCGACGCCTCACAGCCCTTCCCCGAAGCCCCGTTCCAAATCGATGGTGCCGACGTCGCCAATGTCCTCTTCATGGGCCAAGTACGCAACATCAGCTCCCAGAGCACAAACGTAACATACAAAATTGACGACGGCACGGGCGAGATCGAAGTCAAGAAATGGGTCGACTCCACCACCGCGGACAACATGGACACTGACGAAGGCAAAGCGCCCGGCGATGGGAAGAGTGAGCTCGTGCTCAACGGTTTCGCACGGGTCTTGGGCTCCATTAAATCTTTTGGTAATAAGCGGTACATTGGTGCTCATTCTGTCCGGCCCTTGTCCAATATCAATGAGCTGCACACTCATCTGCTTGAAGCTACTGCTGTGCATTTGTTCTTCACCCGCGGCCCTCCTGGTGCTGCTACTGCTGGTGGTAATGCTGCTGGTGGTGCCGATGCTGTTATGGGTGGTGCGGATGACTACAGTGCGGGACAGAACAAGGCTCTTGCTTCAATGTCGCCTGTTGCGAAGAAGATTTATCACTTGCTCAAGACTGAACCTCAGGAAGATACGGGCCTACACCTGCAGGTCATCGCTTCTAAACTGAACATCCCTGCGAGTGAAGTGGCCAGGGCTGGTGAGGAGTTGCTCGGTGGTGGTGTGATCTTCTCCACTATGGATGAGCAGACATGGGCTATTCTAGAGTACTAGAGAGATGCGAGTGGCCATATCTGTGCTGTTCGTTAAAAGTCGCATTCAGACTCCAATGATATCATGATTTGCCTTTTTATATCACATCTGATACAGTCTAAATGGCTCTATCTGGTATATTTTAGAAACATGTAGATAGGATTGACAACTGGGCTCGGATTGAAAATGAGGCTGAAACAAAAATCACATGAGGTCACCGCTAATGCAGAACGAGAATACAAAAGACATATGTTCGAACGATTTGACCATTTCGTGTCATGGACTGGGGATAACAAGTCATGTCGAGATGCTTCTCCTCGTATGTACAAAATCAACTCGTCTGCTCATTCCTCGCTAGAGCTTCGTCGACAGAGCGATTCCAATTCGCTCGACTGATGAAGATGCCCTCGATGAGGGAAACAAGGGCAAGGGCAAGGGCAACTCCCGTCCACAAGCCCATGACACCCCAATCCAAAGCAAACGTCGTTCCCATACTTAGAGGCATGGCAATCGCATAGTAACAAAAGAGTTGGACGTAGCCGCCCACTTCCTGGCGACCCAGACCACGGAGAATACCATTGCAGTTTGCCGCAAGAGCATCGAAGAGCTGGAAGGCTGCGCAGAGCGGAAGCACCTGCGCTACAATTTCGACGACTTCGGTATCAGAGCTGAATAGTCTGGGGATATACGAACGCAAACATGAGAGAAGAACCATGTTGAACACGCCAACGATGGCTGCTCCGCATAAACTCACTCTTGCCGATATCTTTGCGGCGTCGACCAAGGTAGCACCGATCAGATTTGCTATCCGTGTGCTACCCGCAATAGAGAGTGGGAACGGAATCTGCCATGTAATGCTGGCGATTGTTGCGAGAATGGATTGCGCTGCGAGTGCTGACGTGCCGAGATAGCTTGATGCCAACGTCAGAATTTCAAATGCCAGACACTCTGCCTCGACCATGATCAGCCCTGGGAGTGCGAGACGAATCATTGGGCCCCAGTTCTGGAATGCTCGTTTGGTAAATCCGCACCAACACTCGGATCCCACGAAGAAATAAACATAGATGAACAGGCCGAGGGGGAGGAGATTTTCAGTGATTACGACGGCGATTGGAGCACCAATGAATCCCCATTGGAGTTTCTGGTATCCAAGTTAGTATTATCCTCGTCAACGAACTAGAGAGGACTTACCCAGACGAAGAACCAGTTCATGAAAGCATTCAGCGGCGCACAGAAAATGAGAACGTACAGGGATGCAGAAAACACGCCCTGGGCCTGGAGATATCGCTTACCACTCTCGAAGAGGGCGAATCCTGGGGTTCCCAAAAGAGCAATCTTCAAATACAAACCCGCCATCTGAGCGACCTCCTTCTCTGGTATAATCTTGATAAGGATATGCTCAGAGAAATACCAGAGAGCCATGATTGGAATGGTAATGACCCAAAGGAAATATACCATACGCAGCATCTGCAGGCCCACCAGCTTTCTCTTCCCAGAGCCATAGGCCTGCGCACAAAGCGTATCCAGACTAGTCGCCAGACCCGAGTACACCGCATTCCCGGTAATTGTCACAGTCATACTCGCAAGACTGACAGCTCCGAGCTCTTCCTTTCCCAGATGGCCAATAGTAAAGATACTAGCCACGGTTAAGGAATACTGCAGCAAGAAAGTGACCATGAGCGGCAAAGAGTATTTGATAATGACCTTTGCTTCGCGCTGCCAAGTCGTCTGAATCAAACCGGCTGCGACGGCTTCTCCCCATTTCCGGTCGATATCTTCCAAGTCCATCTCACTGCCCTCTGCATCTGCAGACCTTTCTCCGAGGAGAGCGGTGATTTCGCTTGCCCCGTCAGTCTCGGGATCCCTGCTTCTAGAGCGTCGAGAAGATGCGCTTGGTCGTCGAGACGAGGGTCCTTGGCCGATAGCAGCGGATAGCAAGCCACTCATCTTACGCTGCACTCCTTGGGACTTGCCATACGCATGCTCTGGCGCGATAACATGGTTATCGCTAAGCAGGTTCCGTTCCTCTTCAATGACTTGCTCGCGCTCGCTTTGAGATAGTGCTTGCTGCTCCCCAACCCAGGGAACGACAGTCGCATGGCTGACAGATGTGAAGTAACCGGGGCGGCGATATGAGCCAGCTAGAGAGCGAGGATTGGTGCTGGTATAGCTGGCGGGCGGGCGAGCCGTCGAAGTATCAGAAGCTTCATCGGTGGGTGTTTGATCCTCGTCGCTATAGTCTGCGAGATCTCGTGCAATTGCCGAGGCCGCAATGGGCGAACTGGATGTGAAGGACCGGCTAAATGAGCTTTGATGCTCGGCGGAATCCACCGAGCGGATGTTTCGGGCCATGATAAGATGTGTGAGATGAGGCTATGGGTGTTTTACGGCCACCGCATTATTTACAGCAAAACAGATTGGGCTATCTTGAGTTGAGACTCTAGATCCTTGGAGCTTTGGAGGTATTCAAGAAGGCAGAAAGCTTAGAGAGAAAAAGACGGCGTAAGGCTGGATGCGGAGATGTATTTGTAATACCACGGGTATGGCTGGACTAGGTTCAAGCATTGGGGTGTGTCGTGTAATTTACAGAAATAAACTTCCATGAGATAATGTACTATGTAGATAATACAGACTCTGGTTGGGGGATATGAGTCAAGTATGATTCATAGTATTTATGAGTCTTACATTTAGGTACGGAGTATGTACGGAGTATGTCTCAATGCAGCTCTGGAGTGGATGAAATACCACTAATCACTTTTATCCGTAGACCCCGCTAAGATCCAGGAGGAAACTCGATCCGGCCCCGGCAGTGCCTGTTTACCTTTGGTTTTGATTAATATAGCCCACTGGTCCAATACCGTACAACAACTAGCTCGCATGGCTTAGCGGTAAAGCGCATCACTAGTAATGATGAGATCCTCGGTTCGATTCCGAGTGTGAGCATTTCTTTTTTGTATTTTTTTTGTTGGTCCTCTTTTTGTTATACATTCTACAATTTTATGACTGTTTTTTTTTTGGTTATTATAGTTAGGGTATGTTGATAGAATGATGTCAATACAATATCGAAGTTAAACATTTTTCAACAACCGTTTCGATATATATATATATATATATCTGAAGGTGATGTCCCGCATAAATACAATGATAGATCTGCATACATACATACGGACTACAAGAACCTGACCGCGATTATCCACGTACAACACTGTAAGAACGAACGCCGGGGCCGTCGATCTTAAATCATACAAAATAAAAAAACAATAAAACGATCGTGACATTGTGACATCATTCCGAAAACAGTATAGACTATCACATGACTGATCTTTGACCTTGGGCTATCCCCAGGTTTTCTCCAGATTTCAAGGATCACCGAACTTCGAGTGTCAAACCTTTCATCATGTCCCAAATGGTGACACAAGTTGGGGATGTTCGTGGTCCCTTCAACCCTTTGATCAACCCGGTAAATGCCAAGCCGGTCCTCGTGGAAGAGTAAGTCACCGTCCTTTGTAGAAATGGCGGGCAAAACACGTTGTTCCAGTGGCTTTTATCCCTTACATAAAGCCGCACTTCAAATCCAGACTGGCATGCTCCATGATGGCGGTTTGCCACATGACCTACCCCCACATTCCTGCCTAGTGACAGCCCTAGTTGACATTTTTGAAGACACATCGAGTCCCAACATGGGCACATCTTCCTCTCGCGCCCTTACTTCGGCGCACTCCTCTTCGAAAATACCTCTTCCGATGCCCGCGACCACTGCGCCAATGAGCGCACTTTCCTTTCGTGGCTCCGTCTCTCCATATACCTCGCTGTCGTGTCACTAGCCATCATCATCTCCTTCCACTTCCGTGATCAACCCACTGGCTTAGAGAAACGCATGGCCTTACCCCTCGGAATAATTTTCTGGGTTCTGAGTTTGACCTGTTTAGCTAATGGTTTTGCGAATTACTCACGCACGGTCAAGAAGTACGCGCGCAAGGCGGCTTTGGTGCAGAGTGGTTGGAAAACGCAGGTTGTCTTTACGGTCGTTGGAGTGGTGATTTTGGGCAGTTGCATTCTGTTTTTATCGACTGACCCAGCGCAGTAATGGGCACACTGGGTACGATTTTTTCAATTGATTTTATTAGCGTTGGCGTTGGCATTATTTTCGGGCACTTTAGTTGCTTATATTCATTGCATTCATGTACTTGTCTCGACCAGGCCATATTGGGACTACCGTGGGAATACCCCCCCCAAAACCAAGAAAAATTTCAGGACCAAGCATTGATTTGTTTATGATTTCCTAAAAGTAAACCGAAAGGGCGAAGTATCTGAAGTGATGTCGTGATAATCGTCTCGTGTGCTGAGGTATATTTCCATGAGTCGCGTAAAGGAGGGGTTGCTCCGAAGAATGCAAAGATGACAAAAGAAACATAAACCGAAATGAAACCGAAATATGCGATAGACTGTGCATCGGGCCTTTTTACATACGACGGATCTCCTGCTCGTTCTTGTACTTATCAAGGGCCGGAGTACCTAGGTGGCTCCACCACTCGAACAGCATAGAGTCGCAGATAAGCTTGAACCAGGGGGTAAATTTCAATCCTGGCTGCTCAAACATTGCCTTCAGCTCATCAGCCGAGACGTAGGTGGTGTCTCGGACCTCGTTGGGGCTGGGCTTCAGATCGACATCGGCCTGGATGAAGAGGATATAGTCCACTAGCAGAATGTCAGCGTTTCCATCTACAAATCAAATATGCCCAGCTTAATGCGACATACCTTCATGTTCACCCCACTTTCCATCACTGGGGGCCTTGTAGTGAATTCTCGTGAAGAATTCAAATTTGTCCAGGGGTACTTGCTCTGCCTTAATGCCCAGTTCATGGTCCAGCTTACGCTGCGCAGCACGCTTTACGCCCATCACGGCAGCGTCTAGCTCAGCCCCAGTCTCGCCAGGAATTCCAAGAGGGTGTGAGCAGCAGGTGTTGGTCCACATGTCGGGGAAAGTGATCTTCTCGGTGGCGCGCTGTTGGAGCAGAAGACGCTTATTGGAATCGAAAAGGAAAACAGAGAAGGCGCGGTGAAGGAGACCCTTGTCGATGTTGGTCATCAAATGGCCTATACAGATGCGACTGTCAGCGTTTTATCTCGCATGCCACTACCCCGCCATTTTGTACATATGTGGGTGATTCTGGGGTACAAAACGTACAGATCTTCTTGCTGGCACTTCCAATCGGCCGATCGTTGTTATCCAAAACGATGCAGACTTCATCCATCAGACGGACCTGCTCCTCATCGTAGCCCTCGAGTTCGCTGCCGCGCCCAGTGTTTGTTTGGCTTGTGGGGAGGATTTCACGGGCAAGCGATGTATCGACCTCGGGGAAGAGAGTGGCGACATTGTCCGCCGTAATCTCAGGCGGACTTGTGATTGTCTCGGTTGCGCTCATTTTGGCTGCAAAGTGAAGTTGAAAGAGAAGTAATGAATCCTAACGAAGAGAAGTCAGATGTCAGATGAAATGCGTTGGGTCCAAGGCGGCAATGATCGGCAAAATTTGCCCGATCCCCCCTTGCCTCAGGGGAAATCAGGTGGCACCCAACATTCAGCTGACACACCAGAGATTACATCCATACACATCCATGGATGGCTTACGCATTTATGAAAATTGGCTATATAATAATTGAAAATTGCATTCAAGGCTGCCCTATCAGTATCTGAATGTCAGAAGCCGCACAACATTGGCCGTCATGGTGATCAAGATTAGCACCTCGATCATTTTAGTTCAAGGAGACCAGCCAGCTTTTCCAATTCTGCGACTTCTTCTGGTCCCAAAAGACCCAACTTCTCCCGCCGAGTTGGTGCAGTCGGATCAAACACAGGCTTCTCAGCGAGCGAAGTCACCCGTGTACCATGCCTAGGCTGGGATCCCTCATAATCCCAGCTTGCGTTATGGATCGTGATGCTATTGAAGAATAAGCCTCAAATTCAAGAAGTTCCCCAGGGTATTGACACCAACCGGTTATCCCACAATGCACTCGTGCGTGGACTCCACTTAAACCGAACCTGAATATCAGGGTTCTTCTCGTAAACGTCGTATAGGTATCCCAGAATCACATCACTTTCAGCCTTGTCAAGCCCAACGATTCGGTCTGTCATTGCCCGGTTCACCCACAGTGCCTTCCAGCCTGTAGCTGGATGAACACGGACAATAGGGTGCTCACGCTCCACATATTTAGGTCCTGCTTCTGGGTTCTTACGGTCGAGGTATGGGTGAGCTGAGCGGTAGATGGCAGTTCTTCCGTCGATTAGCTTGCGGAATAACGGCGACAGCTTCTCGTATGCCGCGTATCCACTAGCCCAGAGGGTATCGCCTCCGACTGTCGGTACAGTGTCGTTGTGGAGATGGGTCACTCCGGCGGGCTGTCTCTCATGGACGAGATCGCTATGCCACCGAGATGCTCCTCCCGGTCGACGGAAACTCGCTGGTCTCTCTGTTTCCTGCAATGCTGGCCACATCACACTCACACCGGGAACGCCAGGAACATGAGGCACTTGAGGCTAAAAAAGAGAAACAGAGTTAGTGATTGACACATGGTTTCACTGAACTGGACAAAACATACATGAATCTCAACCTCCCCAAACCACTCTCCCAGTTTTTTCTGTTGCTGAGGGGTAATTTCCTGATCACGGAAGAAGACAACGCTTCGTTCGGCAATCAATAAGCCTAGCTCATCTTTCTGCTGGTCTGTCAAATCCTTTAGTTGCAGCCCGACGATTTCAGTTCCGATGTGCCTAGTCAACGGGATCACTTCTTTGGCTGCGGATAGAAGTGCTTTCTTCTCAGGATCGGCTCGGCTGCCGGGATCTACATGTACGCGATCATAGTTTCGCACATTATAAACGTCGTCAATATATAGAGGACGTGATGGCCGGTATGGGTAGCCGTCACTGAGATCAACCCCAGCCTTTTCTAAGCGTTCTCGCGCAGGCCCGGGAAGACCAAGAGTGTCCTTCTTGGGCACTGCAACGTCGACGATGCGTGGATCAATTGGAGCGGGAGCCATGATAGATAATATTTGGAATTTTATATCAGTTCTAATATCAAACCGGAAGGCTTGTAATATATACTTATCTTAGCAATCTCGATTTCCTCATCTAGGTATTGACCCACGTTATACAGTGGGACCTCCGAAATATTGGACCACATCTATGTAGCCAGATATACCGCCCTTTATACCGCCTTCCATTTAGCTATACTGACATAAGTACCGCCTACGTTTAAAATAGATATACTGCCGCAAGAATACATGGATGTTTTCAGTGGTCTTTCCGGTAGTATTCTCAGATAACGTTATGCTTAGATATGTCGACGGCGGAAAAGGGTAGGAAAGGTTAAATTTGTGCAAGCGGCTTTTCTATATATACCCTTTGACTACCAGCCACATAGCCCTACATGTATAAAAGCTAACTATATTCGAGTTTTAGACTGGCAGAACTGGCAGAATATAAAAAGGCGGTATATCTAGGTACTTCGGTTTGGCTCAATATTTCGAAGGTCCTACAAGCACATCATCGTAATCAGCCATTACGCCTTTTATGATCCACGAATGTCATCTTTGGCTGTATCTGGCCATTTTCATACTAATTACCCCTCTTTCAACGTAAATTTAATGTCCAATCCATACCATGTCTTCCACTGCCGAGCGGGGAATGTCACAATCCATGATGAGAATCACGAGCATCTTCACTATTGAAGTCTCCAATGCCGTTTGTTCCGGTAAGCAATTTTGGGATTTGAAATCGCGAAATATCACCTCATATTGTCGTTTGGAGGACCCATAAGTTTGGAAACAATCCACGCAGAGGCGGATAGATAAATCATTTCCTTTTTTCATACTTGCGTGAGAGTCACCATGAGTGAGACTGTTCGAGTCGCAGTTATTGGAGCTGGCATCAGTGGGGTGGTCACTGCTGGCCACCTTTTGGCTGCTGGAATCCAGGTGACAGTGTTTGAGAGAAATGATGCAGCTGGTGGTGTTTGGTAAGATGTTTCGTCTATTTTTTATTTGGAATAATGGGCTAAAACATTATAGGCTTTATGATAAGCGTACTCCAATTGAAGCCCAGTACCCATCACCGAGACCGTCTACTTCAGAGGAATATGTGAAGGATGAGAGGGAAGAAAACGAAAGAAAGATCCTACTTCATGCACCTCCAGGGTAAGTTTCAATAATTTTTATCATATCATAGTCATGCTCACTATTCCCAAGGCCTTGTTATGAAAGTCTCACCAATAATGTCTCGACTCCCCTACTACAGACGACACTTAATGCATGGCCAGAAGGAACTCCTCATTTTGTGAAGCATCATGTGCTTAAGGAATATATTCAAGATACATCAACCAAGGCTGGTGTTGATGATATAACTAAGTATGGCGCCCGAGTTACCCGTGTTTATAAGGACGGGCCAACATGGACAGTTCATTGGAGCACTCTGAGCAACGGTCAAGATCCCGTCGAGAAGAATGAATCTGCAGTAAGTTCTCATCTCTAATATCTGTTGTTTTCATCTTAGGAAGTTGGTTTTAACCGGTTTACAGACATTTGACTCGGTCATTGTTGCCTCGGGTCATTACCACACGCCTCTCATTCCAAATATACAAGGCCTACCTGAAGCAAAAACTCGATGGCCGGAGAGGATCTTCCATTCAAAGTCTTTCCGAAGGTCGGAAGGATTTGAAGGAAAGGTAGGAGTAAACATGTTCTATTGTTCTATTGAGCGAGAGTTTACTGATTGAACTACAGAATGTACTATTACTCGGTGGAGGTGTCTCTGCTCTCGATATAGCCAAGGAAATCAGTGGAACCGCAAACCATGTCTATCAAAGCACTAGAAATGGCGCCTTTGATCTCCCCGCGAGTGCACTTCCAGCAAACGCCTCTAGAATCGCAGAGGTCGAAGTATTCGAACCTTCTACATCAACTACATCCCCAAACATTGGGCCCTTGCCCTTAACCGTACATCTCAAATCCGGGGAGTCTTTGCGCGATATAGATACAATTATCCTTTGTACAGGGTACCAAATGGCGCTTCCATTCCTCGAAGATTATAACGACTACGGTGTGTCTGCCGCTGAAGCAAGTGATAAGGTGCTTGTCACGGATGGCACTCAAATTCATAACTTGCATCAAGACATTTTCTACATCCCAGATCCAACGCTCGCATTTGTCGGAATTCCTTTTTACACTGCGACATTCTCTTTATTCGAGTTCCAAGCGATCGCGGTGGCAGCTTTTCTGTCTGGAGTTGCGCAGCTTCCATCTCCTGCGACTCTCCGGGCGAAATATGAGGATCGAGTTGAAGAAAAGGGTCTTGGACGGAGCTTCCATTCACTCAAGGATCAAGAGAAACCCTATGTCGACGAATTGATCGGATGGGTCAATACGGGAAGAGCTGAGCGTGGCTTGTCTTTGATTGAGGGCCATACTGAGATCTGGATTAAAGAGAGAGCTGCTTTGGTTGAGAGACTTAAGTTAATTTTGGCTGGACAGCTTCCTCGGGAAGATGCACTCAAAGCTCCATTGGAAGTGGCAGTGACTGCGTGAGGTTTTCCAAGATGGATGAAAGAAGATATTGTAGAATGACATAGCCATATTATCTTCAATATAATGTCTTTTCTACTATCGCAATCTAAAATTAGATTATTCAATCTATTTGCGACTATTATTGTTCTGGTGAAGCTTCATCTGTAGTACTTCCAGGCTGAGCTGTATCCCGAGGTCCCTGGGGGCTCTGCCCTAGGGACATAGAAACTCGCTCCTTCTCCGTTCTCTCTTCCTCTTTCGCTCTAATAGAAGAAAAAAAGCGGATAAAGAAAAACGTTTAAATTCATACATACATTTGAAGTATGAAAATTTAGGGTTTTTGGAACACCTCATACCATGACCGATGTATATGACGAACTTCACTGGCAAGTCAGCTGGACCCATGAGAAATGCTTTGAAGACAATGAAGAGCGTTTCCTGTTAATTGGAAGTATGAATAAAAAACCTACATTTTCCGAGCCTAACTGCCTTTTGTTAAATGGAAGCAAGTTCATGTGCCGGAATACCGCAAGGCTTATCACCGTCTGTTATCTTGATTATCAGTTGGTGTTCAATTCCGAGTAGTGTGAGTACCTTGGGAGTGTACATGTATTCTACTAATATGGTATAATATGACCGAGGCTCAGGTAGAGCAAACAGAAGATGGCTCCTCGGATTTTCCAGGAATGACCCCAATTGATTGAGACAAAGTCTAGAAGTCTTGAGATATATTAATTTATATATGAAGATTGTTAGTCTACAATATACGAGGGCTAGTTCAGCGATGAACTTGACCTTGAGCAATTCTTTTCTTCCGATTGTTTTTCCAAGGAGCATCAGATGTAATTTCCTTATAACAAAACCCTTATATAGCCTCATGTGGTCTGTACTTCGTATAGGACTAACAATTCCAGTGTCCGAAAGGGCTGTAGCCCTGGAGGTTATTGAGTATGATGAGTCATGGTAGCTCCCGTGATGGGCGATACCCTATCCGTAGCATAAGATCATCCAATCGGATATCCAGTTCTCTCAGGATTCTGATACAAAAGCCGGTAATTCAACCCCATACGGAGTATATTGTACGGAGTAGAATTCCGATGATGTTTACCGGTCTGACTGAGGATGGTCCCTGCATATGTATCGCTCTACTCCGTAGATCAATCAGAGATGAAAGCAACACGGAGGACTTCGCACCGGTACCAATGATTTTCTCACCCCTAAACTCAGGGGTAGATGCTAATCTAGGTAGGATTATACGAAAAAATCGATAGGTCAGGCTAGGCACCCGTGTGCTGCAAAACCGTTGGCAGTACTCCGTAGTATTAGTGGCGCTGGTACTAGTGGCGAGCTGGGCACATTCCCCCATCAGAGCGAGTAGAATTGTGATAGCCCTTTTGAAATTAGACCCCATCACACAATGAGACAGTGGGACAAGGATTTCTTTGTTCCTTTTTGCCCCTAGTTCATTGCGGATACGGAGGACGGAGGACGGAGTATAGAGATCGGCGTTCTCCCTTTTTAGGTAATATTATCGAGCCCTAAAGGTTCTTTTTTGACTTTTTTTTCTTTCTTTTAGCTTCGGGCCATAGCTCCTTGAAAATCATGGAGATCTGCAAACTGGAAATAGAAATGTGACGGTCCAGGTCTTCCATCGGCTACTCCGTATACGTATACGTAGTGCACTTTTTTTTTTGGACTAACACTTTCGGGTGAGGAAACTGGATAGCTAAGTGCACTGGACTTTTGGGACCCGCTCAAAAATCTCAGGGGCAATTGAATCGGCCCATACGGAGGACCTGAACATATATTATTGTATAGTTTATGGACCCATTTTCCAGATAGGCGAACAGACGCGATGTCTCCGCGGCTGCACCGAACACTTCCAAATGGCTGAGTGTCGTTTTGTCTCCACTTGAGATGACTAGCTTCAAGTGGAGATAGCGGGGGGAAAATTGAAGAGCTTTTAATATACTCCGTAACGGATGAAAAGGATATTGAAGAACGGGGATTCCCACTATATTTTTCTGTGATAGCGTGTGACGAGCAAGGATTAATAGATTGCAGGAAGAGGTCATGGCTGGGGAAGTGAGACATACCCTGATATCTCACCATTGAACCTTTGAACAGTTTTTTATTTTTTTTATTTATGATTTGCATTAGAAAAGAGAGCAATACGTACCTCCAGAGTTAAAGTTGTTTTTCTTGGACTGTTGAAGATCCCCTTTAATTTTAGCGTGTGATTCGTGAAGTGGAGCGCGGCAAGAGAGTCGAGAACCCTCGTGGAAATAAGGTACAATTTCCACGCCCTTAGATTATTCATGTAGATCTTAAGTGCGGTGATATTGGGTGTTAGTACTCCGTAATATATGTTGTACTCCTTTTACCCGCGCGCCAGCTTCTATGCAAATGATATCACATTTGAAGTGGGCCATTCCGTATGGGGTAATAGATCAAGACCTATTCCGAAATGAATTTCTAAAAACAAAAAGACCACCAGTACAAAAATTCAGTATTCCAACCAAAATGCATCATATAACAACCAAACAATGCCAAGGAGATAGGGCTGGGATATATGAATCCTAGGAATCGCATCTGTAGCCCAGTAAACAAAAGCAAAATCAACAAGCCAAAAGCAAAAAAAAAGGCAAAAAAAGCAAAAAAGCAAAAGCAAGTTCAAAGTGGCTCCGACCAGCAGATCCCATAACGGCAAAACAACGCAACTTGTAAAACTCATAGCGAATTTGAACAATGTTTCCCCCCAATATTCATTTAGTCATGCAGACATGCAGGCATGCAGACATGGGACCAGCCCCTAGTATTCGCTAGCTGAGCGGCGGTCCGAGGATCGTTGGCGTGGACTGGGCACAAGGGAAGATGAATCGTGGCTGATAAACTTCCTAGCATTGCGGTGGTGCCTGTCTACGCAATCATGTCTAGGGATCATATCAGCACACAAGTACACATTCAACGAGAATATTCTGGGACCATACCGGGCAAGACTATCCTGGCGACTGAAACGCCGGTCGCAACGGTCACAGCAGTACCTTCGAATCCCGAGATGAACCTAGAGGAGTCTCAGTGTCTGTTCTTGGTTGGTTCTGCTCTTCTTACTCACAGTGCTCATGTGTCTTTTGAGATCTGAGCTTCGCCCAAAAGTCTTGTGGCACTCATTGCATGGATGGTTATTCTTCCATTCAGGGTTGTGCATCTTTTGGTGCTCCTTACAGTTGGAGCGTCGGGTGAATTTGGCACCACAAATCGGGCATTCCAGGCCACTGGCAGATACTAGCCTGTCATGTGATGAGCCACGGTCTCTGTTGCTCGAGATGGTGGTACCATCGGCAGTCCCTTCAGCGTATACTTGCCGTTGAGTCATGACTTGTCCAGTGTTGATGCTCTGTCGGGATCTGTCGTATTCAATCTCCTCCCCCATCGCCTCAAAGTAGGAAACATTGTTGGCTGGAAATAGGGGCATCGTGGAGGGGATAGAACCCCCCGGAAACACACTCTGGTTCCAGTGTCCTGCGGGTTCGTTCGCTACAGTGCCCGGAGGAACATTTGATGGGGTTGTTGGTACTGAGCAAGGTGTGTTCATCCACATATCGGTCATTTGGCTTGGAAAGGCATTCTGACTAGGGACAATCTCCATAGCAGAGTTGTAACTGGGCGAGGCGCTCATCGTCGTCGGGCTGTAGAACCCTAGTGAAGTCTCCGAAGCACTATTGTTGAGTCCATTGTAAACTGGTGGGTAACATGTTCCGTTGGAATAGTCGTCATAGGATAATGCGAAGGTGGGAGTAGGCGCTCCATGGACCAGTTGTGATGGAAGTGTAGGCGTGGGAGGGTAGACCCTCAGTTGACCGAATGCATTCTCGATTTCGCAGCGGGATATCCCCAGACCAATAGGAGAAACCCCTCCTTGGGATGAGGTAGAGACGGGAGACGAGTATGTCGATGTTTCGCGGGAGCGTCTATGTTCCCTTCGCGGGGAAGTGATTGAGCGATAGACCAAATCCTGGGTTGGATTCATATTGGAAAGAAATGCAAAGAAAAAGAAAAATAAGTATAATAAGAAGTGTATTCCCATCAAACCAACCAAAGGCTAGTCTATATCAGAGTGAATATAAAGGGCGACAAGACCAAGTATATATAGTAAAGGCTTTTGAGTCAACAGCTTCGCTGTTGGTGATTGACGGCAGCATACATCTGTGGCTGAGAGGAGGGTTGTGGATAGGGTATGAATTCATTGGAGAAGAACTTGCGCCGCATCGACACCGACAAATGCTGAAGATTGAACGACTTGACGCCGTAATAGACAAGGCAGATTTGCAGAGGAAAGGGTCTGTAATTGCGGTGGAAGAGAAAATCGGGTGGGGGGGCATTAAGGGCCGGGTTAAGTCTAGGTCATGACAATTAGCTCCGGAAAGATCAAGATATAGGTATTATCATAGACATTTAGGGCAAATCATTGCATTTACAGCCTAGTCTCGGGCACTTTTTAGAGATCATAATACCCTATAAGCACTTAACTGGTTTGTACAGGATATGACGATGCATAGCGGCTGTTGGGTTTGTCTGGAAAACGCTAACTATCCATTTCAACCACCGTTGGGCCTGGTCTGCCCAACCGAGACGTGTCCCATGCAGGCAGTAGCCATACAGAATCATTAACTGAGCCCGAGTCTCTGGATCTCGGCTTGGCGAGGGTGCATTGGTATCGAGCCATGAGCACAGCCCGTGCTCAGACGATGTATTTCTGACGAAATTCTAGATATTGAAGTTGATTTTGAACACTAATTATCGTGACCTCAGCCGTATGCGGGCCCTTCCGAACCGTTCCCTTTGGCTTCATGTATACCATAAGTGATAAACTCCACATCGACTCCACAGATCCGGACAAACTGTATAAGATATTTGAATTCACTCTATTGACTTGCTTTCCCCCCATATGGATCATGTACATGCAAAGGAGAACTCTTGAAACGCCAGGGACAGGGGGGAGAGAAAGGGGTGGGGGAAGCCCAAAAAGAAAAGAAAATAGGAGAAAAAAAAAAAAAAAAAAAAAAACTACCGCGCCATTTTGGATTCAAGACAAAAAGATTAGTATTCTCTCACTGCGACATTGCCTCCACTTGGGTTCGTAGTCGTTCTATGGTGTCGATCAGGTCCGCAAGCTGCGGTACTTGCCCGACACGCCCCATGTCTAGCTCACGCGCGGCTTGTTGATCCACACTGGGTGATTTTCCTTGTAGCCGATTTGTTTCAACTACTGAGTGTGGGTCCTGACTTCTGGTAGGGTTTCCAGAAGTACCTTGGCGTGTGGACATTGGAAGATTGTTTTTTGAACCCCATTTAGACTCGTATGCCCATATCAAGGCCACAAATGGGAGGTGGGTGGCTCGAAGTAAGATAATGCGTACACGGCGAACAGTTCCGGCAGAGAGAAAAAGTCGCATGGGGCGGATACAAAGGAGGGGAATAAGATTCTGCGGGAAAGTCAGGAAATATTCCAGAAGAAAATAAAAAAAGATTCCACTGACCAGGGGTGGCATGAAGTATGTTAGTCGTCGAGAATTGCTGCTTTCTAGGACATAAATAGCCAACCTGATTGGTTTGTTAAATTGGAATTTTCCATTGGGGCAGTGCCACCTTTTTCAGGGATGTATAACTTACTGGAAAAGATATTCTTCTCGGGCATGGCGCATCACCTATTGAAATTAGTTTAGTTTAATAACTTCCGAAGTATGTTGTATTTACTTACCCCTTCAAGACTCATACTCATCAAACTAATTAAGGATGATAGAATGAGAGTATTGGTCATTAGGGCAAAAGTAAGCCTATTAAATGGTCAGTATATAGAAAAACTGCGTGGAAATAATTCCCCGAAAAAAAGCCGGCATATTTAGAACGTGATCAAAAGCGCATGCCAGTAACAATTAAAAACTCCAAACTCACATCAAGCCATAGCCGAAGATGGGGGAGATCTAAAAGAACTAGCGTGTCAGTTAACTTAACATGATAGCCAACCATTTTGTCAATCTTCCGGGATTGCGATTGGAGAAGCTGCAGAACAGCCGCTTAGTGCATTGACTTACTTCAGACGCGGTGTCCTAATATCCAATCAATTCAGCCACAGTCAGTGCACAACGTCCAAAAGGTCAAAAGGTCAATGATTTATGAAACCCACTAATCCAAGAACACTCGATCTGTATATAGTTAGGAAAAGAGCGGTCACAGGGATTATTTTCATCATACCCAAAGAACACTTTCACTAATAAATGGGACATTGTACTGAGTGACAAGCGGTCACGAGCAAGCATGGTAAATGTGGTCAAAAATCCTAACAGGGGTTCAGTAAATCTACCCGTGGACCTCTGGTCTGCTTAGCCACACTTACCAATATACAATACTACCACCACTGGGAAAAATCTGAAGAATGCCTTCGTCTGAAACACTCTGGAATCAGCCTTGGGTCCCATCTGAGCGAGGATTAGGAAACTATACCATCTCTTTTAATACCGGTATCTATTCCTAGTCAGTCCTTTTCTAGAAGGTTACATGCAGGATCCACTTACTAGACTGCCGAAGTATGAATTCAAGCTCACAAGTGAGCAGATCCTGTTCATTCCGTGTCAGCCCTGTCTTCCAGAGATTAATTCCACGAATAACCATGCCTCGGAACAAGAAATAGAGCCTCAAGGGATAGAATATCAAATGAGAGCTCAATAATGGGGTTGTCGCCCTTCACTAGTCCAATGACCCCTGTGGCGGCCTTATTAGTCGGACCATTGACACAGATGACCTGCAGATGAGCCGCAAGGCAGATTGAGAACACTGAGTGACTCACTCGTTATGACGAATGCCATTCCAACACCGATTATGCTCAGGTTCCAGAGACTCCAGAACCCCATTTGGTAGAACACAACTCCGGCATCAATGATTCCACTCAATTCATCGTACGCAAAAGCGACGATCCACACATACATCACTGCCTCAAAGATACCAACAGCTTCTTGCCTCCTCTCTACCAGAACTGCGTAGTAGAGAAAGAGGAAAGACATGAAGAAAACTGCTTCAAAGATTTTCCGGTACAGAGGTACTCTCAGGCGTGAATATGGATCAGCCGTTCTGATGAAAGAAAATGGTCAGTATGTCTACAAGAATGTGGCTCATTGTATCTAACCTTCTGTTGAAAATATGAGGTTTCTTGGTGGAGTTGACCGTCAGAGAATCCCAGAAGACGATTTCACCCTTCCAAATACCATCGACCACCCTTTGAACAACTCGCTGGCTCAGAAATCTCTTTGCATGGGCAATCGTTGCTATCTCTAGCGCATTCAGTCCGAAAAATTGGGAGTATCGTTGGGCATAGGCTTCCTCATGTTGATGTGTATCTTGTGAGGTTCCAGGTAACTGAGCCTCTATGGCTCTCTTGCCGCCAAAAAGACGATTAAAAGGAGAGTTTGGCAGTAGAGGAGTAGTCTCGCTTTCCTCCTGACTTGTATCACTTTGGATATTTACGCCAGGGTCGCCTGTCTCGGATTCAATGATATTTATCGACCCGCGTCGCGGTGATGGTAGCTCCTCTAATAGAAAGTCAATTGTCTCCCGCTGATTCAGATGGCACAGGAACTGCCAGGCAACAAATTCACAGGCTGCACCACGGCTCTCATTGAGTCCCCAGTCATCCTCAGTGGCAGTGGTGAAATCCCATTTCAGAATCCTGAATTTGTTAACCAACCAGTCTGACCGGTCGTCGATACGGTGAACTTACATCAATGCCACAATGATGAAGGGATTATGCGTGTCCTCTGCTAAAGCGTGGACCAACTGCCTAAGACGGTGTCCTTGGGACCCGTACAGCATTTGTTCAAACGTGTAAGCCATTTCACCCACGGCCATGCTAATGAAGCTACAGGGGGCTTCGTTAATTCTGCTTATTCAAGAAGACAGGCAACCTTGGAAGACCCACTTAAACAGCTTGGGAAGAACATCAAATAGCGACTCGTCGGTTTCGATCACCGGGATCTCCATATCCATGTGTGAATCCATCTGAAGTTCTACTGTGATTAGTGTATCCTTGGGGATAGGGCGAAACCAGTATCAAGACCGAGGCATCGAAGAATCCATGTCGTTCATATTTCAGTTGGTAGTGTAACGATGGCTTTTTTAATATTTAAGGTAAATATGTCCGAAATTTATTTTGAAAGAAGAATTGTAGGAAAAGACGACGAGCTGAAAGTTGTCGACATGTTGCTGACCGCCTTGTGCAGCGGTATAGACGGGGCCAAAACCCCATTCTAGGCAAGATCGATGCCCTGATGCCTCATTTTCCGAAATAAGACCAGCAGAATAATCAAGATACTTGAATTATTATTACAACATAGTCGGCCGTATAAGCGGCCTTGTGATATCCTTTCAGGGGTCTTTTCAGTGATCTTTTCAGTGATCTCTTTAGCGGTCTCCTCAGATATTGTTCTGTTCATATATCCCAGTTTTATAGGTCGACTGTATAAAAACAAAAGGCGGAAAAAAAGGCTTTCTACAAACGAATAATGTATATAATCTTTCAACCTTTGATAAACCGGTGTGAGGGTTAAGAACAACGCCAAAAATGAGATATTAAGGTATTGGTATTCTCTAAAAATGGGGGCTTAACCCCCGGCGTCTATACCGCTGCGTAGACCGCCTTGAGCACGTGTCGACGCGTCCAGTGACTTCATCGTCAACTTTCCTTATCGCATAGCTCTCACCTGTGATTTCCATCTCATTTACACAATCTTTGACTCTGAGTAACCAACAAATCTCTAGCAGGGAGATGAGGGGCAGTCGACACCATGGGACAAGGTTATTCCCTCACAACCCTGTCCGCGGGGTCAGCAGGCATCGATGTGCCTGAACTGTCCGATCTAGTGTATGAGAAGTCGATGGGGGGTGGCAGGTTCATGAAAAGTATTCGCGCAAGGCAACCAAATGGTCTGGCGCTCATCAAGGTTATCATGAAACCGTTCCCAACCATGGAGCTGGAGCCATATATCAAAAATATTACAAGTATGTTGAAATCAGATAATTCTTATTTACAGCTTCTAATGTTCACTTCAGGGGAACGGAAGCTGTTGTCGGATGTGCCAAATGCACTAAGCTACCAGAGAATTCTTGAGACTGCCACGAGTGGATACCTTGTGCGCCAGTACATCCACAGCTCTCTCTATGATCGAATGAGGTATGTCTGTTGCAGTTGTTGCCAGCGAGCAAAACCTGACAATGTTATAGCACACGGCCTTTTCTAGAGCATATTGAGAAAAAGTGGATTGCCTTCCAGCTTTTATGTGCTCTTCGAGATTGCCATTCACTGGATATATACCATGGTGATATCAAAACTGAAAACGTTTTAGTCACAGCCTGGAACTGGCTGTATCTTTCTGACTTCTCGTCGTCTTTCAAACCGACATTTCTCCCTGAGGATAACCCAGCAGATTTCTCTTTCTTCTTCGACATCTCTGGGAGGCGAACCTGTTACTTAGCCCCCGAGCGATTCTGTGTTGCCGGGGAAGAGCCCAGTGAAAGCCGTGTCAACTGGGCAATGGATATCTTCAGCGCTGGTTGTGTCATTGCGGAGCTCTTCCTTGAATCACCGATCTTCAACCTGAGTCAAATGTACAAGTATCGCAAAGGGGAATACAGCCCAGAACACAGCCAACTAGCGAAAATCGAAGATCCGGAAATTCGGGAATTGATCCTGCATATGATCCAACTCGAGCCAGAGTCTCGGTACTCGGCGGATGAATATCTGAATTTCTGGAAGGGCAAGGCCTTTCCAGAATACTTCTACAGTTTTCTTCACCAATACATGTCCCTCATGACCGCTCCGTCCTCCGGGCGACCGGACGTGGACGCAGAAGCAGCCAACCGAGGGGAGGCAGACGAAAGAATTGAGCGAATTTACTTAGACTTCGATAAAGTATCTTACTTCCTAGGTTCTAGCACCCGTGGCGTTGCGACTCTATCTAATGTCCCAACCTCCAAATTGACTGGCAACACTCTTCCTGTGAGGCTCGATTTGCCAAATGGTGAAACCAAAATTTCGGCACAGCATTCACAGCCAGACGAGGGTGCTCTGATTTTCCTAACACTTGTGGTATCCAGCCTACGAAATACAGCCAAGGCATCGGCTCGAATAAAGGCCTGTGATATCCTCCTTGCCTTTGCGGAAAGGTTGTCAGACGAAGCTAAATTGGATCGCATTCTTCCATATATCATGATCTTATTGACCGATCGGACTGATACCGTCAAGGTCGCTGCGATCCGCTCCTTAACCCAATTACTAAAAATGGTCCAGGTGGTTTCTCCAGTCAATGCCTATTTGTTCTCCGAATACATATTTCCAAGGCTCCAGCCATTTGTTGCTACCTCCAACAGCAAGTCAAGTGTCATGGTGCGCGCCGCATATGCCTCATGCATTGCGTCTTTGGCCCAGTCGTCCCTAAGATTTTTAGACATGATCCAAGCATTGCGTTCCGATACCCGTTTGGCTGCCTTGATTCCGGTCGGCTTTGAGCCCCGATGGACCGAGGATGCCACTTATCACAATCTCTATGACGTGGCTCGGGTCGACCTGCTGGAATACTTTGAGATTCATACAAAAGCACTGTTGACAGACCCGGATGCATCAGTTCGGCGGGCATTTCTTGGCTCCGTGTCCAGTCTTTGTGTCTTTTTCGGCAATCTCAGAGCAAACGAAGTAGTTCTCAGTCATTTGAATACCTACTTGAATGATCCAGACTGGATTTTGAAATGTGCCTTTTTCGAGGCAGTTATCGGCGTTGCCGTTTACGTGGGGAGCCTGAATCTGGAGTTATACATATTGCCGCTGATGGTTCAATCCATGACTGAGCCTGAGGAATTCGTTGTGGAAAGGGTGATTCGATCGCTAGCAGCTATGGCTGACCTGGGCTTATTCCAGCGATCAACAACGTGGGATCTCCTGAACACGACTGTTGGATTTTTGGGGCATCCGAACGTCTGGATTCGGGAGGCGGCAGTCAAGTTCGTGGTTAATTCCGCCAAGTATCTATCGATAGCGGACATTCATTCTATCCTGACACCCATTATCCGGCCTTTCCTCAAGACCAAAATAGTTGTGTTTTCGGACATTCAAATGCTCGATGCACTCAGACGGCCAATGTCGAGAAGTGTGTACGAAATGGCGTTCCTCTGGGCTTCCAAAACAGACAAAGGTATTTTCTGGAAGTCACCAAGCCGCGAGGGCATGTTCAGCTTGTCTGAGCCTGGATCATTCAGTCCGCGCGTGGGCCAACGAAATCCTTCCTTTAACATGGCCGCTCAGTCAAGAAATGACGAGGACGAACAATGGCTTGGTCGATTGCGAAACCTGGGGATGGGGCCTGAGGATGAATTTAAGCTCCTCGCACTCAAAGACTACATCTGGAGGGTCTCATTACGGCAATCGAGAGAAACCGATCTCAATTCAACTGCACCCTTGAACGACATCGTCAGTTTGACACAACATGGAGTCAAGCCCCAGACTGTCTTCTTTGATAAGGAAATTAAAGATCAGTCACGAGCAATCTCCTCGGACGTAAACGATGGCAACATCGAGGATCCAAGGCCGAGAACAATCGCAGATGCTTTGCTTGATGCCTCTACAACCATTGAGCGAATGCCCAGTGCCCATCGCAAGCACTTACGGTCGAAAAGCCAACTTTCGAAAGAAACAAGACGCGCCTCGGGTGTTCCTACCTTGGACGGAAATGATACGTCTTCATTATCATCGTCTCCAGTGGCGTCATCGCCTGCCGGAGGACCTACGTCTCGTCCATTGTCCCCTCCGAGCTCTGATAATGGTCGAAGGCATTCCAGTCGCCGACCGAGCCCTGGAGAAGACGGCTCATTGACACCAACTAACACAGATACCAGAAGCTTATCCGATCGTGTAAATAAAAAGTCTAGCGCGATGAGCTTGTTGAGTCGCAAAGACAATGCGAAAGCATACGCTGAAACGGGCACAAGCTCCGCAAATGCTTTTGGAAAGGTAGACGCACCGATCCAAAGAGGAAGCACATCCCGACCAGTGACACCCTTGCTCTCAACCGAACACAAAACAACCCAAATAATGTCGCAGAAGTATCGTGCCCATCATTCGTATGGGGGCAACGACCCTGCCGTTCTACGACTGCTAGACAACGTCTTTGAGGAAAATTACCCGACGGACCTATTTGACCTAGGGCCATATGTCAAAGAAGTTGATACCCGCCAACCAATTCGCAGCGCTACTGATCAAGAGCCGAGTAAGATCTGGAAGCCCGAAGGGAATCTGGTCGCGACTTTTGGCGAGCATAGTGCGGCAATCAATCGTGTTGTGGTAGCACCGGATCACTCATTCTTTGCTACCGCATCCGATGATAGCACGGTGAAGATTTGGGATACAACTCGCCTTGAAAGGAACTTGACCCCTCGATCCCGTCAAACTCACCGTCATGCAACAGGCTCGCGTGTGAAGGCCCTGACCTTTGTTGAGAATACCTACACTTTTGTCAGTGCGGCTACTGATGGGAGCGTTCATGCCGTTCGGGTGGACTATCAGAAAGTCAGTCAGACGGCAGTCCGATATGGCAGGCTTCAAATTGTTCGCGAATATCAGCTCCCCGTAGCCAAAGACGGATCGCCCGAATACGCAGTCTGGATGGAGCATTTCCGTGACGAAGGGCAGTCCACCTTGATTATTGCGACCAACACTTGTCGCATCATTGCGTTGGATATGAAAACTATGCTGCCGATATACACACTGGAAAATCCAGTTCACCATGGAACATTAACTACATTCTGTTGCGATCGCAGGCATCACTGGCTACTGGTCGGCACAACTCATGGTATCCTCGATTTGTGGGACCTGCGCTTCCGCGTCCGGTTGAAGGCATGGGGTCTTCCAGGCTGGGGTGCGATCAACCGGATCCAACTACATCCCGTCAAGGCCCGCGGACGCTGGGTCTGCGTATCCAGCAGCGGCAGCCACGGCAATGAAATCACAGTGT